TCGGGGGAGAGGGATGGGCCGGCGGGGGGAGGGCTGCGGAGGGGTCGCCGGGGGGAGGGGTGGGGTGGGATGGGAGGGGAGGTCGGCCGCTTTACAAGAGAGGAGGGGAAGGGAGGAGGGCGGTGGAGGAAGTTCTGGGAGGGATGAGGGTCGCGGGAGGTTACGGCGGCGGGTTGCAATAGGTTAGGGTTTGGATATAATTTATAGAGTAATCAGGTGTGGTATATTTTTCAATTCCAAAATTACCCTAATATAATCTTCATCATTAATTTAAAATTAGGGTGAAAAAGAAATAATGAATGGTGTAGATTAAGATAACCAACGTGATTACTAAAAATTAAGTAACCAAGCTAACTCATCCCACTGTAAACATCAACCATAGCCCATCATATTAGATTGATATATATGGTTACATCTGTACACGTTTGCCCCTTTCATATTGTTACTTGTGGTTGCTTTTTTATAGAGATTGTTGTTCTTTATTTTTTAGTTGTTATGATCTATGCTCCTTTTTCTTTGCTTGATATCAATGGTCAATCCATGCTTAATATTGTGTTGATTGTCTTTCTTGTTTGATAGTACCCTGCTTGTGATGACGAGATCAAGATCCCTTGACTCGAGAGAAAAATGGTAAACGTGAAGATTTCTAAAAGATGGAACTTCAATGAATTACTATTATAATGAAAATTGTTTTATGATTTGTTTGATGAGTTGGATTATAATTATGATACTTTTGGTTTTAGAAGATGGATTTTCAATGAGTAAGAGAAATGTTGTGTTAGTTGGAAATTAATAACGATTTAGTTTAAAAAATTTAATTTATTCAATTCTGGACGTATTCGAAACATGATTTGAAAATTGAATCTAATTTCTTTATAAAAACTTGAAGATGATATTCCAAGCATAGGATATCGTTTGACAATGAATTCAATAAATGAATTCATTCTAAAATGAAATGAATTGCCCATTCATTTACGTCACTTTGAGGTTCTATTTAATTTTCACCTTAAGCATTTTTTTTTCTTCATATATTGTTGTTGTTTTTCGACGACAAAACTCTTTATGTTTGAAATCAATGAATGCACCTTGACTTCTCTGGACAACGATTAATGACACGGTTCACTCCTCTCCGAACAATGTTCGAACAAGGGTGTTTGATGTTTTTGATGGGTTTTTTGTGAGCAAGTTACACTAATTACACCCAGTGCAAGGTTGGTAGGCGACATTGGTATTTGGTGCTTGACCTCCTTGCATGACATCGTGTTTGATAGGTGAGTGGTGAGACCCCTTGGGTGCTTGACACCCTAGTGGTTGGGTCTCGGCACTTAGCCAAACTTCTCCACCATCGTGCCTACATAGGTGGTCGACGCTTAACCCCCCTTGCATGACATCATGTTTGACCCCCCTTGAATGATGTCATGCTCGACATGTGGGTGTTTGGTGTGGAGGGAGTGGATACCGAGGTACCTTGCATGAAGCTAGACATGGATAGCCCAAAATTCCATCACTTAGTCCCAACATAAACAAATTTAATTAATATGATTAAGTTGGTCTAATAAATTACTACCACTTCTTGAAAATAATCATTGTGGTAATAATTATTTTTTGTGGTAAACAGTTGTTTAATAGGAGTTTGCAATACATCAAAAATTCGATGAATTCATTGAAACTACTTTAAGTTTCTTGTTGTTTTCAAAAGCGGTTTCTTGTAGAGTCCTATCAACTTAGAATAACTCCATTTAATAGAGTATATGACCAAATTTCACTAGTAGTGTCGGTGCTAGTCCTATTTTGCTCTGTGAAGGGACACACCTAATTTATTTTTATTTTTTTTGAGGGGGAAGGGAATTATTAATTACTATATAGGTGTATATATAGGATTTGAATACTACACGTATATGTAATACAATAGGTTTGATATACAATAAAGGTGACTAATTCAATGCACACAAAAATGAGTGTGTTCAATACACCCAAGTCTAAAACTAGTTTTAAGGTGTCAAATTTTGAATTTTAATATATTTATTTGGACACATTACTTAACATATATATTGGCAATGAAAGTTTATTACAATTCTTTCCAAATATGAAAACACGTCTGGTTGTTTAAAAAAATTTGTAGTGATTGGTTACTTTTTATGAACGAATTGCTTAAATATTATTTTTTTTAAAATATTTATTCATATATTTATATGGTATAAAAGAGAACACATGTTTCTATCTTTGGCACCGTTGCTGCTCACTAGATCCACTTCCTACATGTTTTCCCCTCTCTATTTTCATAGAACTCATTCTTAAACATTATTGTCAATATTACTTTATATCTATTTATCTCTCAATTTTATCATAACTCGTCATACCCCACTATTTTTTTAGTCTCAACATTGACACCAAACGAGGCCCAAAAAAGTAACTAAACATTTTCCCCCCTTTTCTGGTTGTCAACTTCCATGATTTTTTATAATTATCAATTAAACAGGTTTCTATTTTCAATTTTCATGTTGTTGTAATTGTACATCTGTTATGTATCATGGTTCGTCTTCGTTGGAAGATTAGTCGTCTTTGGATTTTCTTCGGGTTCTCCAGAGTTTTGACACGACTTTGCCTACTGTTGGCCTCGATCATGATCTTCATGGTGGCCATTACAGTCATGGTCTTGAGACTTCACCACCACGTACGCCTTCTGCAACATTTTCTTCTTCGGCTGGCTCATCGTTCCTCTTCTCATTCTTCTGTTGGGTCTTCGTCTACCTTTATCACCAACTCTTCATCAGATTCATCCTCGCGTTTGATGTCTCTAGGTCCCCACTCTCTAGTTGAGTCTTTTTCTTGTCCGTCCTCTATTGGTTTGGAACTCACCACTACTTGCACCTCAATGCTCTACTCGTGCAAACCTTGGCAAGCCACCACTACAGCTTCATGACTACATAGGTTATTCCGATTACTCTATTCCTGCAGATTCCATTATGATCTCCACATTATCACTTTGCCAAGGGAAATCCTCATTAGGACTCTGCCATGCAAGGCGAGATTCAAACTCTTGAAGCTCAGAACACATGGGAAGGTGTTCCATGATTTCCTGACGCTATTTTGATTGGAAGTCGCTGGATTTTTATGATTAAAACTAAGGCGGATGGCATCCTAAACAGGAATATGGTATTGATCACGATGAGACGTTTGCTCTTGTTGCGAAGATGCAAACTGTTCAGAGCCTTTTTGTTGTTGTTGTGATGCGAAAGTGGTCGATTGTTTAGTTTGACGTTAAGAAAGTCTTTTTACATGGTGATTTGAAGGAAACCATTTACATGAAATGTCTGCCAGGCTACTAGAAAGGGGGGTCGGGTGTGATGTGCAAGCTCTTACATTATTTGTATGGATAGAAATAGGCGTCGTGAGCCTAGTTTGAAAATTTTCAGAGTACTATTATTTAAGCTGGTTTTGCAAAGTCATAATGATCCATCTATGTTTTTACGTAATACAGTTGATGGATGATTGTACTACTACTTTATGTGGATGACATGATTGCTACCGATAGTGATCGAGGGGGCATCCCCAAATTGACCAAATCGTTGTATTTAGCCTTCAACATGAAGAAGCCCGGTGAAGTAAATCGATCAGATGCATGATTGTTTGTACGCAAGAAGAAGAGAAGAAGAATATTTATGATCTTTTGAATGCAACAAAATACAATTTGGCTCGTCCATGTAGTACTCCAATGGAACATAATTTGAAACTCAGTCGGGTAAGTGGAGATTTCCTGGTGGATCAGACCTTTTATTGAGTGTTGTGCGTAGTTTAATCTACCTTACTCATGCACGTCCAGACATAGTTTATGTTGTTCAAATTGTGAGTTAGTTTATGGACATAGCTCGCACACTATTTCGTTATTTAAAGAACCCTACAGACGTGGGCCTTTTCTTCCCTATTGATGGACAACCTGTGATATAAGCCTTTGCAGAGTCAATTAAGCAGGTTGTCTTGATATTAGAAGATCGACTTCTCGTTGGTGTATTGGTTTTGACCAGTCATTTATATCTTGGAGGTGTCATAAACAGGACTAAGTCTCCGACTCTGAGTCTTCTACAAAAGCAAACTACAGATCAATGTCAGAGGTTAGTTCATAAATGGTTTGGTTGCATAGATTGTTTCTTGACCTGGGATAGCATGCGAGCTATCCATGAAAATATATGGAGACAATACTAGTGCTATACATATCGCAATTAATCCAGTACTTGCATGATCGTACAACGCATATAGAGGTACATATGTATTACATTGGACAACTTGTGATCGAAGGGGTTATTCAACTTCGCTTTCTAAGCACAAAGGAGCATACTGTAGATTTGTTGACGAAAGTTGTATCGTCAAGTTAGACATTGGTACCTATTTTTCAAATTGATAAAGAATTCTACATAAATTTTGAGGCAGGGTGTTGATTATATTAATATGAGCACCATTGTGTAATTGTACAGTTAGGCTTTGTAGTAGCAAACCACTATATATTCTACTATAAATTCACGTTGAAACTTAAGATATAAGAGCATCTTCAATGGTGCAAATGGAGGGAGTTGCAAGTTGAGGTGGCAGTCATGTGCAATTAAAAAAGTGGATGACATCGATGCAAAACCACTTTCAAGGGATGAAAATTTGCACACCATGAAAATATGACATGCAATTGCAAATGGGTCCTTTGTTTGTTTTTGTTTTTCTTTCTTCTTTCCCCCAACCATTTGGTATTAAAATGTAAATGGGACCCAAAAGTGCAATTGCATTTGGAAATTGGAATGACATTGATATAGCTAGTATGAAATTGATGAGTGAAGTAATTGCTAGAATTGCTTCGGTGGCAGTAGAGACCACACTTGAAAGTGAAGAAGGATTGCATTGTTGGAGATGATCTAAAAAAGCATAAAACATGAGATTCTCTCCACAGACTAAAGTCATACAGATGATAGCTAGCACTATGAATTGACACCGGAAATTATTTGACAAAAGGTATATATGAATTTGAGACTTCATTTAAATGAGTTGAACGTCCTATAAATATAATCACGTAGTCTACAAACTTGCTGAAGATAGCTAGCAGTATGATTTGACACCGCAAATTTGTTCAATGGTAAACTCATACTTATAACAATTAAGGTAAGGATTATTATATATACACATCACGCATGTCAAAACAATACGAAAATAGTAGGTTGCACGAGTGCTACAAATGGGGCGAAAACAGAAGTACAGAACTACTAGCTAGCACTCTCCTCCGTTGTTCTCCTGGAAACAAAAAAGTTGGTATGGTGTGAGTAATATAATCAATCACGAGGTTTTCCAGAAACAGCAGCATTATCAGCAGCAGCAGCAGCAGGGGTGGAGGCATCTTGCTGTTGAGGAACGTGATCGATTGATTTAGAGTGGGAGTGGGAGTGGGAGTGGGAATGGGAGTGAGAGTGGCCGTGCCTCTTGAACACATTGGTGAAGCCCAAATACTTCTTGAACCTCCTGAACACACCCGGCTGGTGTTTCTGCCGCGCGTTCGGGTCCGAACCGCCCTCCTTTTCTTCTTCCTCCCCTGCTGCTGGTGATTCCGGTTCTTCGTCCTCTTCTTGTGCTGCTGCTCTTGCAGGAGACTCCTTGCCTTGCTCATCCTTCCTCCCACCTATTTTGACAACCAACAATTATTAATTAAACAAATTATGGGACAATTTATGCTATACAATTTGTGTACAATCAGAAAATAAAAGTAAATAGTTTTTCTTGCTTGAAAATTTACACATAATTACTTCTATCGGATGTCACCGAAGGGACAGGCCTTAAGCTCTACTCAATTTTTGCCAAACAAGGCGTGAATATCTACCTTAGAGATTCAATCAAAACTGAAGCCTCTTAGAACTAGTCGGTTTATCTACTTGATTGCACATATCCACAGAATGCAGCAACACAGTCAACATAACAATCCATCAAACTGTCTAGCATTCAATTACCATCAGTTGCACTGTCAACGGGAGCAGTGGTAGTGGTCGTGGCAGCTGCAGTAGGAGCTGCACTGGCAGTGGTAGTCGTGGCTGCAGTTGGATCTGCATCGGCAGACGTAGCGGCAGCCGAAGCAGGAGTCACGCTGGCAGCTGCAATGGTTGTGGTAGTAGCAGCGGGTGGATCCACAGCCGCATTTGCCGTACTGGCTCCTTCTGGTGACCCCAACAGTGCCGGCTTTCTTTGCCAGTACTGTTCAAATCGCTGCCTTGCATATTCCAAGTAATCAAAATCAATCTTGTTGACGTGCTCCTGTGTTAAAAAAACGAAGCACAAAGACAGAAAAAGAAAAACATGACTAACTGGACAACACGTTTAGAGGTGAATGTACTGGTTAATAAAATTCTTATATACTCCAGCTATATATCAACGCCATATAGACGTTTGTAGCTTCGCACCTCAAACCCGTCAAGGTAAAAAAAAAAACTTTTAAAAGCAATTGAGAGAGAATTTACCGATATTATGCCCCACAAACCCCAAAACAGATGGCTTCCAAGTGTAAATTTTTCAACATCTCTAAGAAACTGTTCCACCTCTTTGTCACCAGGTTTCTCCGCTGCACACAGAGCTCACAGTTTCAGAAGTTAATAATGGTAGAACTGGAGCTGAAAATTCTCATATATTTCTTCATTAGAGAAAGTTAACCATCACTGTCATTCAAGTGAATAATGTTTGGTATTCGCAGTAGCCAACAGCTGAGAACATTTCAATTGTTAAATCTTTACTTCTAAGGAAATCAGAAAATAACTTTTATCCTAAAACTCCCATTGCATGTGAAAAATGAGGAGGTTCAACATCATACTCATTCTACAACCATCTGATACCGCCCAAAATATATCAAAACTAAAAGAGCTAATCAGTCCCAGTGATTATGATTAGTTAAGATTCAGAAAGAAAAAATTACTACCTGAAGCAATCAGATATGCATGCACAAACCTTCGGCGCTCCTCCAGACCTGTTAAGCTTTCAGGTTAACTGACTGCCATAAGGACGGCAAAAAGATATTAAGGAGTAACTAAACTATTAGAGTGTTTCAAACCAGGGTATTTAGTGTAGTCCACAACATGGGGTGTATCTGTATGGTAGTCAGCAGTCATCTCGCAAAAATGATTTGCTAGATCGAAGGCAACAGGATTGTAACTTGCATACTCATAATCCTGTGAGGTATAGAAAGCAAATTACTGAGTATCATTGGTAAAATATCTTAAGGTAAAATCGTGGAAAGAATAAGTGGAGCATTTGAAATTCCAAACAAAAATGACAGGAAAATGTCATCCAGATATTCATCATGTATCTCGGAACAATACCATCTTTCAACCACTATTTGCCATAACTGATGTCAAGCATTTAAGCAATGCTTGCCGACTCATCACAATTCCAGTTGCAGCTTTCCTTCTCAGTGCACATTTTGTTTCATAAGTTCAAGACTCAAGGAAACTTAACCACCAAAGAAGTGAAAATGAACAGAAAATAGAAAGCACAACATTCATGGTGTGAGAAAGTTCTTGAAGCAAAAAAGAAGCTGGAAATCAGAATTCGGAAGCCAAGAGAGTCACATCTGAGTAACCCGGCTTAGATACATTCAACCAAGTCAGCCTTGTATGTTGAACATATTAATATAGCAATGTCATACCATAGAAGTCTAAGCCAATCCGACCAAAGCAAGATGGGAGAAACACCAATGAATTATGTGCATAACAGAAGAGAAGGAGAAAAGTTTGGAGACTTACAATTATGGTGATTGCTTTGGTTTCTTCATCAATCATTATGTTACCATACTGGAGATCATTATGACAAAATCCAATAGGCTTATCAATGGAGAGATTCTTCTCAAGTAATGTGATTTCCTCACCAACTTCATCCAAGCGAAAGGCTTTAGCTTCATCTGGAGAACACATATCCTTCGCCACTTTGAGCCAATTTCTGAATCATCCACAAATTTCGGGTAAAGTTCTTAACTTTAATCAAAACAATAGTTATAGGGGTCGCAATAGAAAGCAAAATACTTATGACAGCAATGAACAAAGAGCAAAACGCACCTTAGTCTATCCCAGAGATGGACAACCTTTTGACCAGGCATATCAAGGCCATGAAACTCCTTCATTTTGGCTGCTATAAGTACTGAAATCTCTGGATCACGCAGATCAGGAGCAGATAGCGTCTGAACATCACATTTGAAGAAAAACATATTATATTTGTCTGCGTCAGTCATATTGCATTAATTGTTTGAGCTGCTCAGGTCCATCAAAGTGCTATACAATGTTGGCTGAGACATTTTCCATATTCAATTAGTGATAATTATCTCTCTTTTTTTTTCTTCTTTTTTTTTTTTTTGTTGCGGATAAGCAGTTGGATCAAATCAACAATCTTATGTCCCTAGCTCAAGAATGGGATCCAAAAAGCAAAAATCCACAACAACAGAAACATCCTATGAAATAGTGAAGAGTATCCATTCTATTATGCCCATCACACTAGCGCAGTAGTATTAAATCTTCAAGACTCTCAAGGAAAACAAAATTATTCCAAGAAGGATAAAATTCATTACCCGAGCACGGATGAACTCTTCAATTCGTCCTTTGGAAAATCGTCCAAGCAGTCGAGGTCCATGCCCTTGTTTGGACATGAACTCAAACGTCTGGATCTCATTATCCCCGTCAAAGAACACCTCCACACCCACACCATAAATCCTGACCACAACCTTGCGCGAGAGCTCACCGGTCTTTGTTGGCCATTTAATTTGGAAGACCTCATTGGTCATTGCACCTTTGAGAGGGATCACCTGCAATGCATTTGCATCAGTCACATCTTCCCACTTGGATGCCAATGATTTCAGCATCTCCTTTGCCTCCGCCGGTACCCGCTCTTCCGGCGTTCGCGCATCTTTATTGTTGACACCCATATCCAATTAACCAACCCCGGTATCCCTCTCAAATTGCAAGCGAGATTGATTGTGTCACGACCAATGTTTGATCTGAAATACAAGAGGGAAAACATCAAGACACCTTTCACCCGGGCATTCAACGAGACAATGAGAAAAAAAGAAGGGGAAAATCAGCATTTCAATAATCACAATTCTGCATGCGAACCCCAAGAACAGCTGAAAGTGGTGAAACAAGAACGAGGTGAAGAATTTAAATTACCGAATCGAATTCCGCCTGGGTCGAGAAGACAACGAAACCGACGGGGAAAGAGAAAGAGAAAAAGCTCAATCAACCGCGACGCCGCCGGCGAACATTACCGGAGAAAGCCCCACACCACCTAAGGCGGTTCGGACAGTGAGTCGTTTTGATTTCGGTGGTAGAAACGGGGATGGAGAGAGTGAGAGAGGGAGCAGGCGAAAGAGGAGGGTTCTGTTCTTTAAATTTGGAAGGGGAAAAAAAACAGGAGTGGTAAAAGAGAGGATGATCATCGATCAGAGGTTGGAGAGGTGGCTATGAGTGACGCGCGCAAAATTGGTATTTTGGAAATTGAGCGGAGGAAGATTCGGGTTCTCTTTTCTAAAAGGAGCGTGTCACCGAGAGAGGGAGAGAGATAAGAATGAACTGTTTACGGTGATGATACTAAAGATTTGGGCCTAGGCCCACGTCGGAAAAGCCCATTTTATTGGGGTTACTGGACACTCGCTGCCGGCCTTGCTGGCAATTTCGACCTGACCCGATTTATCTGACCTGTTTGACCTGTTTTGGAGTGGGTTCGACCCGCCTCGTAGGCGGGGCGGGGCGGGAATGGGTACCTCTCATCGACCCGACCTGCCCTGACCCGCCCCATTCTCGACCCGTTCTTGCCTAAATTACATGTAATCTTAGTCAAATGACTTAGGATTTTACTCTTATTACATCATATTTTATGTATAATAAAGTTGTAAATAAGTGAAAAACTCAATTTATCCAATAATTTAACTACATTTTATCAAATTATGATATCTTTCTCGGTTTTTTAATTAAAATAACGAATAATTCTAATGTTTTTCGCATAAATTATATACCCAATGGGTCGACCTGCCCCGACCCGCGCCCCATAATAAATTACCCGACCCGGTCCGGCCTACCACAAGACGGATATGGGTATCGAGATACCCGCCCCGGACCTGCCCCATTGCCATTCCTACTTGCTAGTTGGTACCCGAACCGCCTTTCATTCTCGTCCATACACTGCCGGAAACTGGCAAGCAAAGACTGTAATGGTCTCGGTGGAGGGTTGGATCTTTCCAAAGATTAAGAACAAAGAAATAGACTGAATTGAGGAAGAATGGAGGTGAATTTGAGAAGAAGAATAATCAGAGAATCAAAAGAAAGGGAAGAACAGAAGCAGTAGCAGGGGGGAAAGAAGTAAAGCATAATAGAAGACCTGAGAAAGTGTTTTCTGTTATTCAATTGTTCGATATCCTCTCTACAACACATGACACCCCAATTTATACTCTGACATACCGTTTGGTATTAAATGAATTTCATAAGTTTTGAGAAATTTATTTGGAAATGAAATATTTTTGTGTTCGGTATTTAACAGAATATTTTCAATTATATGGAATTGGAACTAGTTATAGCAATTCCGAGGAATTGAGATGGAATTTCCAAATGAATTCCACAAATATTTACTAATTATAACCGAATGACATAACTATTTTCTTTTATTAACTAAATTACTTATACATATGATATATCAAACACAAGAATACATTTGACAATGAATTCTACACTGCAAATCATTTTATTTCTAAAGATTTGAATATGACATACCAAACACAAGATTTCATTTGACAATGAATTCTACACGGTAATTCATTTTACAATGAAATGAATTCTCGATTCATTTGGTACCAAGCCCCCGTTTGTGAATCGTTATTCGTCGCCCTAAAATTCAAATTTTATCGCCCTAAAACACAATAAATTGAAATATTTACCCCTGATTAAAATTCGAATTTCTAAACCTTACCCAAGTCCTTGTCCCTTTCCTTACCCCCAACCCACATCCTCCCAGAACCTCAATCCCCTGCTCCCCCTCGCCTGAAATGGGTCGGAGCTCATTTTTCTAAAAAACATAAAAAGTCCCAAATTCAGTCATTTTTCTTCTGGCTTCAGCAGCCCATATACTTGCAATAGTGAAACGATTCGTAGCGCTCGGCTGCCGTACATCCCGTCGGTGAAGACACGGAGTGGCCTGTCGGAGGAGACCGGTCGATCGGTATTGCGGACGGCACCATTGGAACAGACGAGATTATTACCATTGGATTTCTTCGGGTTATTGTCGTCATTGAATAAAAAAGGACGCCGTCGCCGGAGAATGCAGCATTGGTGCCACGACTATTTCGCCGGCAATGGCTGGAATTTTGTCGACGGCGGTTTCGTTGGGTTTTAAGTATTTGAAAGAAAATATATGGACTAAGCGAATTTAAGTCAATTTAATTTAATTAGGGCGACAAATAAAGAATTTTAGGGCGACGAATAGCAATGACAGTGTTTGGATAAGTAGAGTTGGGTTTGGATAGTGTTTGGATTTGAAAATGGGTATGGGTTGAGTATGGGTACCCATTACTTTTGACCTGTTTGTAAATGTTTTGTTTTTTAGGTACTAAATTGTAAAACAAAAAATTTAAGGTATTAAAATATATTTTTCCACACATGATGTTGGACCAGTTTATGTCTCTTTATAAATTCAGGTGCTAAAAGGTAAATTGTGCAACAGAGTTAGAAACTATCGTGCTCTTCCAAGGACCTCGACTGCGCCGCTCACTTCAACGGCGTCGAACCGCTGGTGCCTCCACTTCTGACCAGTGGCGGACCTAAGGCATGCCAGGGTGTGTCGTCCGACACACCCTCGCTCGAGAATTTTACGAAGGACCTACATATTTTTGGTACAAAATTTTTTACTTCGGGATAGCCGACACACCCTCAATAATTATAGCCGACACACCTTTATTATACTCGAAGAAATTATTATCCAAATGAATCAATCTTAATCATAATCCTTTTTAATTTTGTTTAAAATAACTCATAAAGCATAATCCTATCCTTCCTATTAAAAAAAACACTCTTCGCCCATACAATATACATTACTATCAAGTCGATTTATTCTATGCAGTTATAGATTTGCAGCTGCAAGAATTGAATACTCGATTTGGTGAGGTGAACACTCGATTGTTGGACTGCATTTCTTGTTTTAGTCCAGCTAACTCTTTTGCTTCTTTTGATAAAGCAAAGTTGATAAGTCTTACTGAGTTTTATCCCGAGGAGTTTCCATCCAATGTGCTCTCACGACTTCATCAACAATTGGGGGCTACATTTCTCATGTCAAGGAGGATAAGAGCTTTGATGGATTTCGAGGAATCGACGAGCTAGCTAGGAAATTGGTGGAAAGGGGAAATGACACTCTTTATCCTTTAGTTTACTTGCTGTTAAAGTTGGTGTTGACCTTACCTGTGGCAACTGCAAGCTGCAAAAGAGCATTTTCAGCTATGAAGATAATCAAGAACGATCTTCGAAATCGGTTGAGTGACCAATTTATGAATGATTGTTTAGTTGTGTATATTGAAAAAGATTTGTTTTGCAGTATAAGTGATGAATGTATTTTAGAGACATTTCAGCAGATGAAAAGTCGTCGCGGTTCGTTGTAAACATGACATTATGAACTTTATGAATTAATTTCTTTTAATTTTAAATTAATTTTAAATTTAATTATTATTTTATTTTATCGGCGACACACCTCTCCGACAATGCTGGGTCCGCCACTGCTTCTGACAAATCCAGCCACAATCAAGCGCCGCCGCAGAAGGGTTGAGTAGGACCTGGACCCGTCGTTGACTTTGAAGAAGGGCTGGGGAGAGCGCGGCGAAGAGTAGGTCGGGAGAGAGTGGTGGTGGGCCTGGTGGCTGCGCGATGGAATTGTTAACGTCCGTGGTGGTGGCTGGGTGATGGAGATCCAAGCTCCTTCCCTGTCTTGACCCATCTGTCGACGCGGATTCGCTGCCCGGCGAGCTTAGCTTCGCCGTCGGAAAGTGGGGAGTTGTCCGCCGACAACTGGAGATGGACTATGATGGGTTCTGTTCGCCTGAAAATATGAAACACAAATGGTGTATATATCTAATGAATCTCTACACAATCCGATCCAGGGATGCAATAGTTACTATCAAGAGAGAGAGAGAAGAAGCAAGATCAAGTAGTGGGTCCATTAGCTAAGAGATAAACAAAGAAACAGAAGAAAGAAAAGAAAGATCTCTTAGCCACCCCTTCCAACAATCCCTCTTGTTCTTTTCAGATTTCCCCTCCCTTAAAGCTAGCTTTACATATTTCTAGAGGAGGGAGCAAAAGAAGAAGAGAAAAATGGGCAGTGGTAATAGAACCAGGCAACCAGCTACTACTTATCAAGAGCAGTGAAAAGCCTCCTACTACTCAGAAAGATCATATAACATCATAACTCAGCTTTCTTTCAATATCTTAAAACCAGCACACCTCATATATAGTGCTACAACTATTAACAATCTCATACTCTCACACATTGCAACATATGAAGTAACAAACTCTAACTAATGGTTCTAGAATAACACAACAGAGAGCACAAAGAATGCAACAAAGCTAATGGAATCCCAACACAACCCAATGTTATGTAAACCAAGGATGTTCAAGTCTAGTTCAATCTCTCTCTTGAGAAAACAATCACAATGCATCTTATACGCTTAAGCCGCCTTTCTCCCTCGCCACATACAAATTGAACACAGCAACAACATCATACAATTCAGACAGAGTAACACAGTCCATCATTCCATAACTTGTTCATCATCACTACTATCATTCTCATAGAAGATGGTTTGAGTTGAACCACCAACATCGGGAGGGAATATGACTACACCTGCAAAATAATACATAGAAGTAAGCAACGACGACAAATACAATCCAGTATTAGCAAACACAACTAAAAGATCACTAAGTACATTTAGTAATTAATGATAGAAACACTTCTCCATGTTTAAATTACGAACACATAAGAGCTTTCATTTTCACAGCATCTGCAGGTTTACTTTCTGTACCAGGGCGGCAGAGGATTTGATGGTGGTTGGGAGGTGCCCAAGAATTCATCACATGATATGTAATAATGATGGAACCTAACTATAAAGGGTGGGAGCCTGGCTAGCTGTAAATCATATCATACCTTAACTGCTACTTATTTGATTTCACCCGCATCTGCATCTTAAAACCATTCAGTTATGATATAAACACAGCAACAACAAGTTGTATCTTACCATGAAATTCATTCCTAAGCCAGTTCTGGGTGCACATAAGAGCCTCCACATTCGTGTCATCAAGGCAGATACGATGAGGGTTCAATAATCTTCCACTTGTGCTAAATGCAAATTTCGAGACAACTATTGACACTAGAATGGCCAGAATGTCCTTAGCAATCAGCCTTAAGATTGGATATTGTAGGCCATGGTTCTTCCACCAAGATAAAATTTCGAACTCTTTGCTTCTTGTGATCACACCATCTCGCAAGTATTTGTCAAACTCTTCTTTAACATTCCAATTAAATTTAGCACTACCAACATAAGAATCAAAGCTGGCAAGAAACCCAGAACTTGCATGTTGATGTGGCGGTGAAGAAGAAGAAGAATCATGCTAGGTTATGTAGTCTTGTACTCAATCATAAGATCATAACAAAAGTCTCGAATCCTATTAAATGAAAGGTAGATGTGCCAACATAAATCTTGGAAAAGGCCCACTCTAATAGCTTCATCTTGGTAAGATGCAACAGTTGGTGAATGCTTTCTTTTGTTCTAGTAATGAAATGTGACGTGGAGTGCCTTCCATTAGAAAAAGATCTTTGTATGGCTCCTTAAAGCCGGAAGCTGGTCCCCTACAATGAGCATCATCAACAACAACATAGCCAGACTGCTACACAGTCCCGTTACTAGCTTTAAATAACTAACAGCCCTGCTGCAAATTCGTACCAAAACAACTCTTTAATACCAACTACCCCAACCTCATTGTATGGCTCGTCGAAACCAATGTTATACACTTTGTGATTCACCATATCTAAACGACTTGTGGTTGTGAACTATTTCCAAAAGAAATGATCCTGACGATCATATGTATGAAGAAAATCTAAAGATTATGCACCAAATTGACAATCTAGAAGATTGTTCACTAACTCACTCCCGACAACAATCTTTCTAAAAGTTGTTCATGAAATTTGAGTTCAACGACTCAAAGATCTGAAGTGATATGGTCATGAGGGGGAGCATATACGCACTGCACTCCTTTTCCCTTAACGATGGTTTTTCCCATTGGGTTTTCCTGGTAAGGTTTTTAATGAGGCAGTATGAGATAGCGTAATGCAATCTTGTGGTCATCCAAGGGGGAGTATAATGTAAATATAGATATATGAATGACCAATGACCTACCACATTAGATGCTCATTTGGGAGTTACATGTAACCCTTATTCCTACAATTGAAATCTCTTTTTATGTTTCATTATCTCTCATTCATATGCATTGATATAAGGATGTAGTGGTTACCAAAATGTGCCTATAAATAGAACATACCATTATATCAAAAGTGAAGAATGAATAATGAATAATAAGAAAATTCTCTTTCCTTATCTTCTTTGTGTCTTTCACCACTAATATTTTCTTGTAAAGATTTATATTTTGCATTAGTTTCATAACAACAGTAAACTTTTGAATTTTGATTATCGCATTATTAAGGGGAGCAGTTACGGTGAGTACTACAAAAATAGTAATCACTGTGGCTACTAAGGGTAGGAATGGTATTCTGGTGCTTATTATTTTGGTAGTGATGCTAAATTTTATTGGTAGTGTTTACATTGGATAGGAATGGTATTCTGGTGCTTATTGTTTCGGTAGTGATGCTAAATTTTATTGGTAGTGTTTACATTGGGTAGGAATGGTATTTTGGTGCTTATTGTTTTGGTAGTAAGGCTAAATTTTACTGATAGTGTTTACATTGGGTATGAATGGTATTCTGGTGCTTATTGTTTTGGTAGTAGTTATGCTAATTTTTATTGGTAGTGTTGACATTGTGTTATTAGAGTATATCTGTTTCGATGGATTGGTATTCAATATTGAAAATGATTTGCTTGACCACTTCCAGAAATACCAATATCATTATAGAAATAAAACAAGAAATCAATGCCAAAATATAAAAAAAAACTATACCAATACAACCAATCGAGACGAACCAATACAACCAATACAACTACGAAAAAAATAGTACCATTACACCGCACCAATATAAACAATCTATACCATTATAAAAATCAAACCAATACCAAAATCAACCAGCACCACTACTACAATAAAAACAAAACAATACCATTCCATAAACCAAATCACTACCACTATGAAGACCAAATAAATACCATTCCATACCAACATAAAAACCACTACAAGAAACAAATGAATACCAAAATAAAAACAAACCCAATACCATATCAAAACTGAACCAATCGGAGATGGGTTGGAGAAGACTTGCACCCTTATCCTTCTCTGTCTATGCAAATCAAACAGAATGGCGTAGAGTTGTATTGAAATCATCTAAGCTAAAGGAACAAGAAGAAGGCGTTGGAAGAAAAGCCAATCAAATGGCGATCTGAAGACAAGAGAAAAGAATGATCAAATCTGCAAGACTAGAAGATCATGCAGAGCAGAAGGATGGGGAAGGTTTTTAATTTGGAGAAGAAAGTTTCCACGATTATAATCAAACATACATCTCGTTCAAGAGTCAAAAGAGGAAGCTTTTCAAATTGAATGAAACCCCAATACTTGGAGCTAACGGCTACCATCGAAGCTATTTAAGAAGAGCAGCCAAGCACGGAAGAAGACAATTTTCGCAAAATCAATACTAACATAGAGCAAAGGAACCTACTAGTAGTGTTGATTAGAAAAGAGTCTCAAATAATGTACTTCGGGGAGAATCAGTGATTGAGAGAGAGCGTTGGACTGCGCTGTAGCTGGATAGCTGGGATAAGTTCACAGTGGGTAGAACGTCGATCATCTAAGTCGAGTTGATCGACGGTTAGACGTTGTATTCCTTCGGAGTTGAAACTCTCATACACATAGTGGATCGTCGGACATCACGCCACAGTGATCATCCGACCGTGGACTAGTCGGCAAAGCGAATTTGCTTGCCGGAAAGTCGGAAACCACGTAAAAACTGAGCGTGTCTCTTTACTTTTAAGTTTATCACTTTGCTCTGTTTTTCTGTAAGGTATGCACGGTATCTAGCATAGAAGCCTAGACAAAGGAAGAAGACGAAGTTGCAAAACGACTGTATTTCGACGTTACCCTGCACTCGCTACCTTAAGTCAAAACGGCAACCTCGTTTGAGCGAGCCTTCAGTGCGAACCAAGGACCAAAGCATAACTGCCTGTCCACTCAAGCCCAAAACCAGAGCCCATTATTCAAACCCTGCTCCTCGTTTAATTTTGCTTCATTTTCTATCAAATAGTTTTTAGATCATTCTCCATTTCTGTTTTTCCAATTCCGTTTCACAAATCAAATTAGGGTTTCACTCTAGTTATGTTTACATGAGAAACTATGAACTCTAGTGATTGCAGTGAAAGAATCTCGCGCTCGATTCCATCAACATAAGGGGGCTGTCAATTGATCATTTCCAAACTCTCTTCCGCTGCATTTATATAGAGACCTACACAAAGCCATTCATATAACGTCAAAGATAAATCACCAATTCACTAATACATTAGCCATGGTGGCACTAGTACTACTACTGTCCAGCTTTCTTCTGCTGACGATGACGACGACGACGATCGCCTTCTCCGAAGAGGAGGATCTGTACAAGTGGGGTTGCCGGGACGGGCACGACGGAGTCGATGAGGAGATGGCGGCCGCGACGATGCATGTTATCCTTGATAATGTGGTCGTTATACTGCCGTATAGAAGGGAGGGGAGGGGCTGATGGAGGGTGAGCGACCGGCGGGGAAGGGAAGGGAGAGAGAGAAGGGAGGGGTGGACGACCGATGGTGGGAAGGGAGTGGAGGTAGGGTTTGCCTACAATATATAGAATAATTAGGTGTGATATATTATTATTTCCAAAACTATCCCTAATTAATTATAACGGTTAGATTAAAAATAATGGAAATGGATGGTACAGATATAGGTTGCCACGGTAACAATTTAGTTGCCACCTTAACTCATCCCCATTATTAACGAAGTGAGATGACCAACTACCAGCGCATAGGGATGTTAATGAACCAAGCCGCTCATGAACGGTTTGGTGTCCGACTCGAGGAAAACTCGTTCGACACTCGATTCGTCTTAATCGAGCCGGCTCGCGAACAAGCTCGTTAACTAAACGAGCCGAACTCGAGCCATACCATGTTCAGCTCGAAAGCTCGCGAACAAGCTCATTTAATGGTTTGACATAAAAAAAAAGGATTAAAATTCATGGATTTAATGTATTGAAATTGGGATAAATATTATGTTTTACTTAGATAGACTTTTGCTACAGGTTTGAATGTAATTTTGTGCTCAGTTCTAGGTCAATCTTGAGCTATCATGAACATTTTATGAGTTGAACTCAATTTTGGACTCGTTAAACTTATTTGACGAGCCGAGCTCGATTTTTCATTTTCATAAACGAGCCGAGCTCGAGCTTGCATATTAAAGCTCGTGACGAATACGAGCCGAACTCGAGCCTGAAAATATATTAACGAGCCGAACCCAAACTATAATAAAGCTCGGCTCGATTCGGCTCATTAACAGCCTTACCAGCGCATTCCCGCATCAAACCTGACGTGCTCCAAATCTTGTAGACTGATCCGGGCTAAAGGCCTTTTACTGGGCTTTCTGTAACGGAAGCCCACGCAGTATGACGCTCATTAATTGGACCTCACACTTCTGAATTCAGTATAGAAGAAGAAGAGAATAGTGCCGCCGTTACTTACTCAGGTGAGGAGACGGGAGAGGGACGGAAAAGGGGGGCAAAGCTGTCATTACAGAAAAAACAAACCCCTAGTTCCCTAAACCCTTTCCCTGCCGCGCTGCGCTCCGCTTTCCTTCCTCCCGGTTCCACGCCTGATTCCCTTCGACTCTCTCCCTTCTCAGCAGCCGCTTCAATCTATTCCATCGCCTGCTCGCCGCCTACGCCACCGTACCCCTTATCAAGGTACTTCCAGATTCTGCCTTCTACCACTATCCATTTTGCCGCAGCTTGTCATAGTTCGGAATCTTCGGCGCTTTCCAATTTGGTTTTGGGGAAAAAAAACTGCGTCTTTAATTGGGTTTCTGATTTCCTGTAATGGGGTTCGGTCCGTTTTCTCCTCTTTGGTCAATCAGGTGCGGTTTGCTCGTTTTGCCTAATCCTTGTCGGAGGGACTTCTTCAGCCCTGGACGGCGTTGCAGGGTTGAGATGCTGAAGACGATTTACTTGAACAGCTCACTCGAGTGGAAGCCGTCTCCAGTTGTAGCCCTAGCTACCAGCGCCGATGACTCCCAAGTTGCCGCCGCTAGGGAGGATGGCTCCCTGGAGATTTGGCTCGTCTCTCCTGGCTCAGTTGGTTGGCACTGCCAGCTGGTATATTCTATCTTCCAATGTTTCTTTTAATGTGGAAAACACTGAAACTTCTCTTGCCTTGAGTGGGCTGGATTGAGTTTATTTAGTGCTTTTATATGTAGATTATTCATGGCGATCCTAGTTCAAGAGTTTCATCGCTCGTGTGGTGTCGTGCTGGCTCGAAGGGATTACCTTGTGGCAGATTGTTTTCGTCAAGTATTGATGGGTCTATTTCAGAGTGGGACCTGTTTCACTTGAAGCAAAAGGTAAGTTCCCTTGATGTTTGCTTTTTGAAACATTTCTTGCATTTTCCTGTCTTGTCATGCCTACAACTAATGCCATTCAAGTAATTGGTTCAGTAATCTTACCTACAGACATCTGCCTTACGGTACTGAGGGTATTTGAAATCGGAAATCTGCTTATTTTTCGAGCTGACAGTCACTATGCATTTGTACGTACTTAGAATATATCCCCATTGCGAAATGGTGGCTCAAAAGGTGAAGTGATAAGCTTTTTCTGATTTTTATCATAACACATTTTTCACTTGCCTGCAGATTGTTCTGGACTCGACTGGCTACTCGATTTGGCAGATGGCTGTTGCACCTACTAGTGATGGAGCACTTTCCTCAGAGGTCAAGTCGCAGCATCTGACAAATGGCTTCTTGAATGAAATTCATCGTGGTAACGATCATGATGATGAATCTAGTGAAAGTGATGATGATTCAAGCTCCGACGGGCATCTCAATCAAGTTCTTGAAGATACACGCTTGGCAATTGCTTGCGATGATGGTTGTGTTCGTATATACACTGTTCCAGATTCCGATGAGTTGATATACAATAGAACTTTGTCTAGGGTCAGTGGTAAGTAATCTGTGCCCTTTTACTGCTGCTCACTTAATTTCTCTTACCCTGTGTAAATAACTCGATTTACTTTTTTATGTTGCAGGCCGCACTTTAAGTGTGACGTGGAGTTGTGACGCGAGTAAGCTATTCTCAGGCAGCAGCGACGGGTAAGTGCTCAAATGGCTCCAATGATTTTGTACAATTTAGTTCTTGTAACAGCTGATCTTCATGCCGGTTCCTAAAGTGTTATATGTATCAATTTCATATAATTTCATAAAATTTGACTGTGAGCTTCAGCATTTCTTTGGGATGTTTTTATATCTGTAGTAAATTGTCGTTTACTTTTGTAACCCTATAATGAATCCCTTGTTGCAGTTTTATTAGATGCTGGGATGCAACCCTTGGTCATGAGATATACAGAATCACAGTTGGGCTTGGTGGTCTGGGCGGTGGAACTGAAATTTGTGTGTGGTCTCTACTTGCACTGAGGTGGAAATAGCAATCATTTGATTTGTGTTGGCTGTTTGAATAATATAACGCTAGGTTAATGATTTTGCTCCAACCCTAAGAACATGGCGCCATGTATTTACTGTCAATTGCAGATGTGGGACCCTCGCTAGTGCAGACAGTACTGGCACTGTTCAGTTTTGGGACTCCCAGCACGGGACTCTTTTGCAAGCGCATTCTTACCATAAGGGTGATGTAAATGCTTTGGCAGTTGCTCCTAGTCATACCAGGGTATTTTCTGCTGGATCAGATGGTCAGGTATTACTCCCCAGATTGACTTCAAAAAAATCCCTCTTTTAGTTTCTTCCTGCAGTGTTAATAGATTTTCTTTTTGTCATAGTTCTTTAGCAACTCTGGCGATCTGAATGTGTTTTGGAAGTTGTGTGACCCCTTGTGTTTGTTTGTAGGTTATTCTTTATAAGCTTTCCAGTGATGTAGTTGGATCTAGTGCTGATACATCTACATCGACTGTAATGAAGAAATGGGTTTATGTTGGTTATGTTAGAGCTCATACACATGATGTTAGAGCTTTGACAATGGCTGTACCAATCTGCCGTGAAGGCATGTTTCTCACTCTCCTCTGGCTTAGTCACTTCGGTTCTGTGTATGCCTACCATTTTGTATCGACAATAATTCTTCCATTTCCTAATTCTATGATCTTGGAGTACAGATGCTCTACCTGAGGAAAAGGCAAAAATGGGGCGGAAGAGGAGGCGGCAAATTGAGTTTAGCTATCACAAGTGGGCACATCTGGGAGTTCCCATGCTAATTTCTGGTGGCGATGACACAAAGATGTATGCTTATTCTGCAAAGGAGTTCTCAAAGTTCTCTCCCCATGACATATGTCCCGCACCTCAGAGAATGCCCATTCACTTGGTTCATAATACCATGTTCAACAAGAATTCCTTACTTCTTGTCCAAGCATCTAATTCCTTGGATATTTTATCTGTGCGGTCAAATGGTGGAAACATAACAGATGGTGTTCCTGGTCCATCAAGGGGCCGTGCAACCACAGATTTATTGGCTAGAATTAAAACGAAAGCATCCCGTAAGATCATATGTAGTGCCATTTCTAATACTGGAATGCTATTTGCTTACTCCGATCACATCAAGCCAAATCTTTTTGAGTTGAAGAAGCATGAAGCTCACAGAACTTCGTGGACTGTTAGCAAAAGGAAGCTTCATTCCAAGTTGCCATACTCGCATTGTATCATCTTTAGTTCGGATTCTTCGAGGCTAATATTGGCAGGCCACAATAGAAGGATATATGTAAGCATTTTCTCCTTCTACTGTTGGGTGTTACTTTGCTTTTAAATGTGACTGTTCCAGTTCCTTTTACCTGAATGCCTTGAAGGATGGGTTATTTGTTCCAGTCGACTTCATTGTTGATGAATGCTTTTGTTTGGGGTAGGACTTCTGGCTCCTTGTGGGTAGTGAGTAGGGGTTTATGTCCCTTTAACGTGCAATGATATCAAATCTCATATATGCATTGTGGTTGTAGGTTGTGGATGTGGAGACATCTGACCTGGTGCATACCTTCACTCCTCAGCGTTATGATTACAATGAGGAATTACCGCCCTCCGAGCCTCCAATGACAAAAATGTTCACTAGCAACGACGGACAGTGGTTAGCTGCCGTTAATTGCTTTGGCGATATATATGTGTTCAACATGGAGACACAAAGGTGTGAATAAACCCCATTCCTTCTTTTCTCATGTGGGTTGTCTATCATGTGACTTTTTCGGCACTCTGATTATGTGCAGTCAGATTTTTGCTTCTTATAATTAATGGATCCTTGGTAAGAAAAGAGGACATAGTTCCAATTGAATTGTTTGGTAGTTATATACTTGTGGGTGCTAATAATGAATCATCTCAATCCTACAGAGTGGTCAAGTCACCTTTTAGATTCCCCTAGAGATTTGAATTTATGAGCCTATTGCTCTTTTGTCATGATTAATTATCAAGTGTGGATATATATTTCTGCTGGAGGCTGGTTTTATTTGGAGTTATACATATCTTAACGTTTGTTTTGAATAGGATTTAAATACGCTCATTGTTTGTTACTATACAGGCAGCATTGGTTCATTTCAAGACTGGATGGTGCTTCTGTTACCGCTGGTGGTTTCCCACCACAAAATAATAATGTCCTTGTAGTCACTACCTCCTCAAACCAGGTCTATGCATTTGATGTAGAGGCGAAACAGTTGGGGGAATGGTCAATGAGGCATACTTCTTTTCTACCTAGGAGATACCAGGAGTTTCCTGGAGAAGTTATTGGTCTCTCTTTCCAGCCTTTGTCTGCTTCTCCATCTGCCATCATATATAGTGCGAGGTGAGTTTATCTAGTTTCCTTGTGGTTGTTTTCAAGGTTGTATTGCTATCCTAAATTGACTGCTAGTTCGTCACATCTGATATTCATTCACTAGAGTGTTTACTTGAGGGCTATCAAATCCCGATGTTGTAGAATATTCATCTGAAGTTGTTAATATCTTTGCCTCCAGGGCAAGGTGTCAGATCGATTTCGGGATGCCAGTGGATAGAGAGGAAGATGGTGACTTGGCTAATGGTCCTGTTTCAAGCAAAAAGATAAGATTAAAAACCCCGGTGAACAACGGTAGCCTGAAAAGAATACTAAAAGAGTATCAAACAAAGACTGAAAATAGGAGGAACTTTGAATTTCATGCCTTCAGAGATCCTGTTTTATTCATGGGGCACCTTTCAGAGAATAGCATATTGATCGTAGACAAGCCGTGGTTAGATGTAGTTAAATCATTAGAAGCTCCTCCTGTTCACAGACATGTATTTGGCACTTAGAAAGGGTGGTGAGAAGAGTTATGATGAATCAGTTGAGCCATAACAAGAGGAACGTGGGGAGATCAGGGAAGGTACTCAGAAGCAGAGGGCTAAACTAAACCAGGTTTTTCGAAGGCTTCCCTTGTCTGCTAGGCGGGAGAATGCATGGGTTCTCAAGTCTTTCTCATGGGTTGTGCATTTGATTGGGGAAGAAGGATAGAGATTTGCAGGCAAAGGTTGGTAACGATGAACGGGGACTATGCTTGTTTTGGGGGTTGGGTTCATGTTCTTGTTGTTTATTGTATCCCTACTAGTAGTTCTTCTCTCTTGCAGAGGGTTGTCTTTTTGTTACTTTTTTGGCGCTTTGTTTCTGGGGACCTTCTAGCGACTCTTGGTAGTAGTTCAACTCAGTTTTGTCCTAATTTTTTATAGCTTCTAACTTATGGGTTAAATCTATCGGAAATGTACAAGTTTCCCCCACTGCATACTTCCTGTCCAGCAGTGCAAAGAATTGGGCATTGGTGGGGAATTGGCAATGAATCAATGTTGATGGCTTCAGTTACTTGCTGCCTTTAGCAGGAATAAGCTGCCTGACCTATACCATTGAGATTATTGTAGTTACAATAATTATATATTTTCCCAACAGGCTACTTATGCGCTCTACACACCATATCATGATTTTGGGTGTACTTATTATGTCCTGGGTGTACTTTTTATCTCACTGAACCCTAACGGTAAACTGTCGCGATAGTTAATGGTTGGGAGTTGCAGATTTTAGTTTTAAATTTAGGCGAGGTTCGTTGGTGTTTCCGGAGGTATAAGGCAGCTGGGGGCAAAGTCCTGTTGCCGTCGAATCGAAACAAATTCAGTAATTTTTTTTAAGGGTGTTATGGGCTTAGTTTTTTTTTATTATGAATATGGGCTTAGTTTTAATGTTAGGGGTTACTAAAGGGATTCAACCTTGTGGTTTAAGGTTCACCATGATATATCTATATCATCATGATACACTTTCATACCACTAAAATATAATTTTATGTACTACCAAACATAGCCACAATGTTGATAATATATGTTTTTTTTATTCATAAATATATCAAAGTAAATGTCATTTTGTAAAACATGATTAATATGTTTTTCGCAATTTCCCGGTTAAATTAGTTACTATTATTATTAAGCTAAGTGTCGCAATTTACGACACGGTTTGATACAACAAAAGAAAGAATTCATTGTGAATTCTCTTGGTGTAAAAATAACTCTCCCACCCATCTCTACCTTCTTTCACCCAATCAACAATTTACTCTCTTCGGTAGTCCTACAACAATCTCAAAGTCAACAGACAAAAGAAAGATACGGTAATGTCTATTTTTACTCCAAACCTTTTTAGATTCTTTTATATTATCCGAACCTATTAAAATGCTATTAATTTGCCAAATCTTTCGTAATGCATCAAAATATTAGCCATTTTTATGTTATCGTCAATAATTTTGTAACTCTTTTCTTAGTTAAAACACTAAAATGTTGAAATATTGACCTTCATGTTTCTCTTCCAAGTCGGTATCATGTTGTCAAGTCAATATTACTAACAAAATTGCTAACTGAAAATTAACATTTGGCTAATTCTTAGTATTTTGATAAATTTGGCTAATAAAAAAGAATTCGAAATTTTTTTGGATAATAAATAGATATTACCCATTAAAATACTACTGAAACCAATCTTTACCCTCGTCCGCACTTCATCAACAGCTCTACAGACTACTCTTGCTGTTTGCAACGCAAGATTCCAGGCCCCCGCAAGTAAGTTTGTAACACCAGCAATCTGCAAAAGTTTCTGCGAAAAACCACATTAAAAAAAACATGTGGTCTCTATCTTCACTCTGGCTTCCACAAAACAGACACTTTGCATCACTAATCTTTGCGTCATTTTTACAGCTTGGCTCTAGTGGTCAAAGCATTCAAAACAATCAGGACGAAGTGTGTTCCATAATGCTCTTCTAGTCGATTATTGATCCATAAGCGATCCATTCCACAAGACCACATCTCCCTGTCTACACAGAAGAGCCTGTGCTTGAGGTTGGAGCTTCAGTATCTTCCTACATGCCCGAGAGCTGTTGGAGTTAAATCTTCATGAATCACACATCATCCCTTTTGCAATGAAAATGTCATTGGTTCAAGTATTGCATATCGATTGAATTGAACTCTTGAATGTGTGGAAACGATGTAGAATTCTTAACACAGACTTAGTTTTTATAATTATCATAAATCAATAATATTTTTGAACACGGAAGTTAGTGAATATGGGGCACATGTGTATTTAAGAGGGGTAAATATGGAAAGATTTAGTGATGTTTGTTTGCTGAACGCGGATGGAAAATGCACTACTAATGTAAATGGGCCATAATAGTGCCCCAACCTTATAAACGCTCAACCATCGCCGTCTCTTCAAACTTTCTTCAGATTCAACAACCGGCTAACCTCCCCCAACTCTATTGTTACGTGAGAGCAATTTTCGGAGGGTAAATATGAAAAGATTGAGTGTTGTTGGGTTTTCGAAGGCGGATGGAAAAGACGCTTCTAATATAAACGGACCCAAATAGAGCCCGACCCACTAAATGCTCAACCACCGGGCTTACTTTCACAGTTTCACTACACCAAACGGGAGAAAGAGGAAGGGGAAGAGAATCAGAGTTTCAATTTTTTCTAACTGAAGTAACTTTTTTTCTTCAACCGGGTTCCCCTTTATTACGCTTGCGGCCTGCGGGCGAATGTTTTTGAGAAAAAGAGGCAGGCTAATTTTGCTACGGAGCCAGAGCAATATTTGGAGCCAAATAAAATTTTGAAGCAAATTTTCACCAATCACAAAATGAACTAGACGAAAATCTTAGCGTTATTAGTATTCAAGTCAATCCAATCCTAAAAAAAAACAAGAAAATGAAAAACAAAGTTTACAAAAGCATCCAATTACGAACTCCCCTTCCACACTAAAACCCTACAAATCTCAACACCTTTACAACCCATGGCCACGTCCAGAGAATTCAAACCCTGACGAAGAAAATGCTGAGCTCCGGCCCGCTGTTCCCGTCCGGGTTCATCATGTAATACGTCTCCGAATCCTTCGACCCGACCACCCGCTCGAAATGCGCCCGCATGTACGCCAGCTCCCCCTCCCCCTCCTCCTCCTTCTCCTTCTTCTCCTCGGGAATCACCCCGGCGCCCATGGAAACCACGTGGAGCGTCCGCATCACGTGCAGGTCCTCGTCGGTCGGCTCCCTCTTCACCCCGAACCCGGACTTCTTCCCGTTGCAGAACATCGTCCAGATCGGCTCCTCCATCACTTGGGTCTTGTCGCCGCCGCTCCTCTTCTCGCACTCCATCGCGATCCGCACCATCCCGCCACCCATGCTCTGCAGCAGCTTCCCCGTCGGCAGGCCCAGCTCCAGGAGGACCACCGGGAGCGAGCTCGGCGTCTCTTGGATCGCCAGGTTCACCCGGGCCCTCTTGTGCCCGTACAGGGTCCCCGTCATCCGGGTCCCGTTGATGTGTCCGTCCTGGATCCGGGTCCCTCCGCCGCCGCCGGCGGGGAACTTGCACGCGGCCGGGGTTATGATGGGGAAGGAACGGAATATCGACCGGACCTGGCGGAGAAGCCTCCTGGGCCGGGATGGGTTGCTCTTCTTTCCGCTGGGCTGCTGCAGGGAGACGACGGCGGCGGGTGGTGGAGGAGGTGCGGCTGGGGGTTGGGTTTCCGGCGTCGGCTGGTGTGGCGATGGTGGGATTGGAGGCGGGGAGTTGGGCGGGCGGGTCCGGACGGGCGGAAGGTTCGGCGTTGGAGCGGCGGCGGCGGCCATTAATGGTGAGTTTGGTTGAAATTGTGTTGTTGTGATGGAATGTGGAGAAGCTCAGTTGGGTTATTTATTGTGTTGAAGATTGATTTCTTTCTTTCTTTCGTCCTGCCGAGGAATCCAATTTGTGGGAAGCACGTTTGGTTGCAGGTTGCTGAGTTGATTTCTTGGGGGTGTAGAAATAGAAAGTACGCGTTGTTTGAGTTTTTGATTTATTCTTTTTTTTTTTTTGTTTTGTTTTGCGAAGGAGTTGAAGCTGGTTAATGTTTTTTTTTTTTTTTTTTTTGTCACGGCAGAGACACAATTGTTTGCATAGCGTGGAGAGGGAGAGAGGGTAAGCAAATCATCAACCCAGTAATTAACAAGAGGAAAAGAGAAGTGGTTTTAAGTTTTAACTGAACGATGCACAAAAATAGAAAGAAAGAAAGAAAGAAAGAAAAAGAAAAGGGTTTTCAGTTCAAAGAGAGTAGAATGGTTGAATTGAAATGGGTGGGTGAGAACTGAGGAAAGGTTTTCTTTGATTGATTAACAGTAACGTACTGTGGTTTTCGTTGGATTTCTGGGTTTGGACCAGTACTGTAAGTTTTCTTTACCGTATATAATGGGAGAAGAATGAAAAATTGAAAATTAAAATAGATGACGCGCCAACAAAATGTTTTGATCGAATATATACAATCTTAGACTTAATGATATATATATCAACAACTAATTTCTCAACTTATGATAACGGATTGGGTTTTAATACTTACTAGAAAGTAGAAATGTCAATATAATGTTAGATATCGTTAAAAAAATTATTAACAAATTATATGTTTTATGATGAAGGTACACATAATTGTAGCTAGTTTTATGTTAATTGTTGTAGGAAAGTAATCCACCGGCCAACAACATTGAGTTGGATTTGGTTTCTTTCTTCTTGTCGAGAATCATAACAATGTATGCTTCTCATTCTTGTTAAGAACAGTAACTAGGTACGGGTGGACATCAACCAGAAACAACGTGTTTTTTCCTGCATTTATGTATAGTTTAAAGTGGAACACAAAGTAATGATAAAGCCGGCCGGCCCGGATCGGCCGGCCCGGACCGGATCGATCCGGTCGGGCGAACCTATAAAGCCGTCACCCGGTCGCAAATCCGGCCCGGACCAGTCATTTAGCCGCTATGGTTTTATGGAACGGCCGGCCAGCGGTCGAGGTGGTTAACCGCTTGAGCCGCTCAAACCGATAGCTCGGTTTTCCCCCTTATGGCCGTTGTGTTTAATAAAAAATTTGAAAAAGAAAATCGAAAATTGAAAACGAAAGGCAAAATCGTGGGGTTGGGAATAGGGATGGCAAAAATATCTGTAACCATGGATATCCTCCCGAATCCGACCTAATCGGGTAGGGTAAAACCCGAACCCGAAGGACTTTTAGTGGGTACGGGTAAAATCCGAACCCGAATATTGTGGGTATTGGGTAGGCATGATTTTCTCACTATCCAACCCGAACCCGCCCGATTATACACATGCAAATGTATTTTGTCTACGAATAATCAATATTTTTCTCTAACATATTTTATATTTAGCATATAAATATAATATTTTTATAAAATTGTGTTGTTTTAATTAATTTTCTTCATTTTAGTGAATTATTGTCGTACTTTTCGTCTTACGTAAGGTGAGAATACGTGTGAATATTAACATATTGGTTGAAGTTATAACTAGAAACTATTACCCATGGATAACCGTGGATACCCGAAACCCGAACGGATACGAACACGGTTTGGATATTCTACCCATTTCTCATGTGGGTATGGGTATGGGTAAAACCCAAACTACTTTGGGTAGGGTAACGGATATGCACTATCCATCCCCGCGCCATCCCTAGCTGGGAAAGAAACTCTAACTCTAATTCAGTCTTCGTCTTCGACTCTTCGTGAATAGAGGGAGAAGAGCGGCGCCAAACCTTACCGCCGTCAACACTTCCTGTCGGCATCGTCGCCATCCCCAGTCAGTGTAGCCGCTCCTAGTTTGCCATCGCCAGTCTCCATCCCTGCCCCCTCTTCCAGTAGCAACTCCTCCGCTCCGTCGTCACTTCCCGTCCCGTCGCTTCCCGTCGCCATCGCCGCCATCCGCAGTCCTTGTAGCCGCTCCCCGCTCTCCAGTCCTCGTCCCTTCTTCTCGCAACTGCTTCTTTGATAGCCATCGCCAGAGGCTTGAATCGAGCACTGCCCTGCTCCGGCCGTCTCACCCCTTTTGGTACTCATATTTTGGAATTGTTAAGAGTTAAGAGTGTAATTTACTAATTTAGTCATGGTTACCATGATTAATAAGTGTCCACTATTTATACTGATTGTTTATTAGGTACCGGTTTTTAAACGGTTTAATGTCGGTTGTACAGCTAAAGACCGAGCCGTTCACGTTATCGGGTCATACTCCGCTTTGCTTTTGACAACATTCGTTTAAAGTGGAACACAAAGTATTGATATATCCACCTTTGTGTATACCAGGAAATGGAAAGGAAATGTATTAGCTAGCCTATCTGTTTAGGCATAAGATATATTTAATTACATATCACCGTAACTTGCACTTTTAGGTCGACCTCATATAGGATTAGGTCGACCTAATATGCACTTTTAGGTCGACCTTATATAGGATTAGGTCGACCTAATCTGCACTTTTAGGTCGACCTTATATAGGATTAGGTCGACGTAATATGTCGTTTTAGTTTTGTGAGTTCAACGACGCGGTTGACCTTTTATAGTAAATGGTCGACCTCTTTGGGAAGTGAACAGAATGAAAGCACAGTATCCGTATCGGATAAAGATTCCAACACCAGAAAAGTAATCCTAACTTATCTACCACTTAATTCGACTCATTCTCATACTAAATATCTATAAATACGAATATATTTCACCTTCACGGCAATGAATTAAACTCTGAATTAGGTTTTTTTTTACGGTTAGAGCTTTTGTGAAGAAGATCCTTTGCGGTTGCTGTTGTACGTGATTCAAGAGGTCGATGACATGGAAGTTATGAGTACTTGTTATCATGATTTATGACTGATTTTGTTGGTTTGAAACGTAATTTGGGATTTTGGGGCAAAACAAAGTTATGAGCAAACAAAAATATCATATGGACAATAATCCAACCCATATGGGATTTTGGGGCAAAATCCCTCATCAAAATCCTACAAGCAAACAACCTCGTAGTCCATGGCAAATATACAACCATGCCATCGTGCCATGACGGTCCTCATCGACTACTCCTCATTAATGCTATTTTTTTTATCACTCCTCAGTAGTGATGGCAATGGGGCGGGGTGGGGCGGGTACCTCAATTCCCATGCCCCGTCCCACGCTACTACATGTTAGGGCGGGTAAAACCCGCGCGGGTATGGGGTGGGGCGGGTCGACCCACTCTTACATATTATTTGAAGAAATTACACGTAAATTGTACTTTTTACGATAAAAAAGAGGAAAACACTTAATGAATGAAAAATAGTTATAATAGAACGGATAATTGTGTCTAACAAGTTCAAAAATCGACACTAACTAGTTGAAAAAAGTTAATATAGGAGAAATATGTATAGATATTCTAAGAAATTGAGATAGAATGGTCCAAGAACGGCGTGGGGCAGGGCGGGTCGGAAATACATACCCATGCACCGCCCCACGCTACTGCGGGTCAGGTAATAGCCGCCCCATCACGGGTCAGGTCGGGTAATACCCACGGGCCACGGGGCGGGTTCAAATTGTCATCACTACTCCTCAGTCATTAAGAATGATAATCACGTATTTCGAGTGGATATCATGAGACGCATGTAGGAGTACGTCGACCCATATGGGTATATAATGCAGGGAGAAAACATAAAAAAAAATTCATTAAAAATTCAAGAAACAAATTATAAAATGATGAGTGTAGTTAGATTATTAGAGAATAAGAATCTCACCTATTTACAAGTTTATTCTAGCAAAAGTATGAGATATTTTGAGTGAAATTACATGTAATTTAAGCTAAAGCGAGCCGAGAATGGAGCCAGTGAAGGCAAATAAGGATAAGGAGAGTACTCAGCTCTTCCCCCAAATCTATCCACCCTAGAAAAGGTCAAACAATGCCAATAAAATGCATCGGGTCAGAATTGTCATCCCTACTCACGTCATTGTTATTAGCTTTGTGTTCAAATCCCAACAACCAAATTATATTGTATATTGGCAGTATGCTCATCTCTCTTTAGTCAATCACTCCTCAAAGTTAATGACGTACATCATCCAAAATCCAATCACCGTGGTATGATAGTAGATAATACTAGTGGCGTAACTAGGTTTTTACTCTAAGTGGATTCAATAAAAACAATATATAATAAATTTTACCAATTTCATTCATGACCTGTTTTCATATTTTTAAAATTTCTAAAATAAATAAATCATCCAAAATATTTAGCATGTTACTCTAAATCTATCCTACCTTAGATCATTCAACACTTTACCACTCATTTATTAGAAATTGGAGAACTTAGAATAAACAATTAGAAATGGTCTTACTTCAATTTATTTGACGTATCAGAGTTTGTTATATAAAATAAAAAGGTGAAGTACTTATCACTTTTTTTTTTTTTAAGTTCGTTGCTAGAAACATAAAACTATATAACATGTGGTACTAGGATAGAAACCCATGGGCACTTTGTAAATACTCCATTTTTTTGAGCTATTGTCGAGATCCAAGGTGGATCCGGGGAACACATCCATTTTCAAGCTGCATCCGCTCCAAAGTCCGACCATCAAAATTTCAAATTTGACGATGATAGTCAATTAACAAAAACTTAATCACTAGTATTGTACAATAAACCAACAATTATGGCGTCACAATGTCATTGTTCTTATTGTGTGATCAACCAAAGACGGTCGATATAATCATCTGCCATGATGGCCAGTGGCGGAGCTATGTGGGGTGCCTTGGGCTTGAAAAAAATTTCAGCAATTCGGAATTTGTGTGGCTCAAACGGGATCGGTTAACTTGCTAATCTTTCTATGGGGTTGGAAAAATGACACCTCTATTAATTATAGTTAATTATGGTATTAAATTTATGTTGTATTTAATAATCTTTGGGATTAAAAACTCATATTAATTATATTTTCTTTTTTGAACTATCATTGCACTTGTACACTGAAGTCATATTAATTACATTCTTTTTTTTTAACTACCAGTGCACTGATACAACTACCATTGCACATGTACACTGATATCATTGCACTGGTAGAACTACCATTACACTGAAAAAAGGAAAGTAATTCATATGAGTTTTTAATTCAGATAGATTAATAAATGCAACACAAATCAATTAACTTAAAAGCCTATAATTAATAGGGGTGCCATTTTTCCAACTCATTTAGGGGTAGTCATGCTATCTCATCCCGGGCTTAAACTAGTGATTTTTTTATTATAGGGAGACTTCCTTCCCATTTGGGCCAAGTAAATTTGCTATGCAACTTGTTTTCGTTATTATTTACATTAGAAAACTGTCCTGAAACCTCCTTTTATGTCCCACAATCTCTAGGACCCTAGCATTTTATTTCTTATTCTTTGCCACTACCGCTGATATCCACAACAGAGAGGACGAGTCGACATCCTCTGCCTCGTCCAAGCCCCTTAGTCTCCAATTTTGGCCAATAATTCGCCGGATTTCCACTGCCGCACTCGTCCAAGTCACGTCGTCTCTAATTCGGCCAATTACAAGTGTCGAATTATCATTTTCGTCAATAAACAACTACATGAGACTGAGAGTATTACATGCCAAAAAGACTCACATTTTAAGAATATTACTGTACAAACATGATGATTGCTGCTGACAAGTTAGAAGATGTGGGTTGCAATTATCTTCTTGGTTCGATTTTATTATTGGTGGTTTGGTTGTACCAAAAATTAGTGGTTGCAAATGTAGCGGATGAAATGGATTGATAGATTGAATATACAGATTCAAGTGACATCAAAATATTGATCATTATATAAATTTAGAAAATTTTGGATACTTAAATATTATTTTGGAATATTTTAGTTATCAAAATTTAATTTTTAAATGATAATTTAAAAAATTTAATTCAGGGGTCGAAGTGTAAAATATAAAATATATATAGTTTTAAAATATAATTTTTCGAATATCCATGAATCCACCAAATCCAATTGAATTTGAATTAAATGGATTGAATTAGTTTTGACTTTTTTAGTGGATATATTGGATTAGATTAAAATTGTCACCTCTATACAAAACTATTAAAAAAAAAACAAGAAATGCATCTTATTCTTATAAACGTCATCATGAACAATCATGAACATTTTCTTTTACGAATGCGGTAATATTATTCATCGCAAAAGTGGATAATACATAAGCAATACGAGCGTAGGCATTCCCTAGCCTTTGCCATATATATAGTTTAATTTACTTTTAACACTAATCAATACCTTCGAACTCAACTCTTTGGTTGAATATGAAACAAAAGTTTATGGCTAGGGTAACTCGATATGAATACAATTTGCTTGCTCTTACAAACTAAAATATTTTCATTTTGAAACTTTGATATCGAAAAATGTTTTATTACTGCCAAAAGTTTATGGAGTCAGGCAGTCAACCATATAACCAAATGAGTTCTTACAATTGTCTTACTAAACTCGTCGTTGTTAAAGATTCTTTATATTAACCAAATACCTCGATTTAGACTCTTGTAACTATATATCTCAACTAACATACTGATGTTTATTTATTGCCTCAATTTTTGAATTTCTATTTGTTTACCAAGACATTTTAAACAACAATTTCCAACCCTTATTTAATTATTGCAAGGTAAGAAATTAGCAAAACGTGAAGCTTCACGTGCATCCTCAACAAAGATTTCTCTAACCTTCACACATGTCATTCTCATCCTAGAAAATGAAGTCAAAGTTTGTCAACAATCATACTTAAGCCATTTTTAAAATTTTGATTTATGATCCTCGATAATTAATAACTCCGGGTCTGAAAATAAAATATTAGCATAGAATGTAAGACCTCCATAGAGCTTGCTCAATGAACATGATCTAGAGCAATAATATATGCTGTGAATTTAGGATACATTATAAATTGTTGCAAATGTGATTCATAATATATGTTGCACATATTATTTTTTGGTATATCATTATATTTTTTATCAAAAAAATATTATTATTATTATTATTATCATCGATGAACACAAAATATTATTATATATGTGTGTTCGTTTCATTTTTTAATCAAAATGTAGAAAATGAGTAGATATTTTTAGTTTGAAAATTGTGATATATGTCACTCTCTATTTTCACTTTTATATTTAGTTTAATTGACAAAAAGGTTATTATTTATGTGTATTCATTTAAATTGCTCATATAAATGTAACTTATTATTTAGTTTAAGAAAAAATAGTATAAAACTTAATTATTAAGGTCTAATAATGTATTTTTAGGTTTAAACAAATGTGATATATCATTTATGTCACTCTCCAAACATTAGTCTACTACAATACATTAGTATAATGCAAAAGCACAAAAAAAGAAGAATTATTGGATAAAAGAAAAGAAAATATTAAATGATGAGAGAGATAGCTTCATAAATAGATCAATAACTAATTTTTTGTTAGTAAGAGAATTGTCCACATTGTCAACTTGTGAGCTCTCCAAGTGCTTATGTGGCAAACTTTTAATTTTGAATTGTCATAATATTATTATGTATAGAAGATAGATAATGGACTAACTCCTACAACAGACATATTGAATACAATGGATTCAACTCATTACAATGAATTCAATTCATTGTAGTAGAAATCATGAGCAGAGATATTGAATACAAAGTAGGAAAGAGGTGACGGGTTTGAGATTATGAGCATTAGATAATCTTGTGCTGACTTATGTGGTGATGTTGTAAGCACTTTTGCTTTAATCTTTGAAGATCTTTGCATTTCTTTCAAACCAAATGTTTCCGAAATGTAATTAACAGGAGAAGTCAAATAACTTCTCTTCACTCCCTGAAGAGGTCCTCACAAAGTCGTGGTCTCAGCCTATTAGGAATGGCAACAAAATTCTAACCCACGGTATTCTACACGGCCCAACTCGGTTAATGCGGGTAAAATTCGTGTTGATGGGTTTCGGGTCGAGTTTAGGTTTAAATTCGCATATTGTTCACCAGATTGGGTTTGGGTTTAGAAATACCCGACCCATGGATACCCGCACACACGTATTTCGTCGCCCTGCTCTCCACAAACCCTACCCTAATTCCAATTTCTCTCAATCTAACTCTCACTACACTTATTCCGTGTGCTTTTATTTAGTGTAATTGTGATTTGTTTGACCTTTCTAGACTAGTGTTTTATGTATGAATAATTTGTATGGGGAAATTGATGTTTGAATTTTATTTTGATAGGAATTTGTTATTGTAAATTTTTTATCACAAAAACCCATGAGTACCCATGAACCCGCGGATACCCAACAGGTTGGGTTGGGTTTGAATTTTCCAAACCCGGTGGGTTTTACCCCGAGTTAATTTACGAATAAACCAATAGGTTTGGCAAAACCCGACCCATTGTCATCCTACAGCCCATACAGCTGAATTTGAAAGTAGAAGTGATTCCAAACCTCTTTTGCAAAAGAACCGTGCAGGAGCAAGTGAGCAGCAGACTCAGCTGGTGCGAAGCAAGTAGAACAGCAAACTCCATGAACAACCATGAAGTTGACCTTATAGTTAAGAAACAGGCAACTGCCTACCACATTGCAATCTCATGGTTTCTTGAGGGGAATTTAGTCATCGAAGAAACAAAAACATGAAGAAGTGGAGAAAGAAAGCTAGCCCGTACTGCTTATGTTCTCTTCTCAGCCCACAAAGGTGGCAAAAACAGTTGACCTTATTTTCCAGCCGTCGTGGAAGTTGACAATCGAGTTTTTTTAGTCTCTGCTAGGGGAATGAATTGTCTCAAATCTCGAGTTTCTCAAGCTTAATAAAGTTACGGGTTTTGACTTTGAACATTGTGGGCAGCATGTATCGCGGAGATACGCGGGAAGAACAAAAACTCTAGACGCCATGACCTGCATTGACTTGGAGATTTAAATTAGTCGCTATTATATATACCCTAATAAAGAAACAATGAACTGGAACGACTATATATTGAGAACAAATCCCTTCTCTCTCTTTATTAAGTCAGAAGAACAAATTCTTAACCCAGATGTATTCTGCTACCATACAAGTCTATAGAGAAGATTCACTTCTCCACACATGCCCTTCAAAAAACCAACTTTGGCTGGTGAAGATTTTACAGCAGGCCTAAAATCTACTATATATCACTACTAGTACGACTACCCTCACAATACTAATATGCACATAACGCGTGGAACATTCTTATGGTTTGCTGGACTCTCCACCAAGCCCTTCGTCGCTTGCTTGGCGCCCTGACCCGTCTTCATACTAGTTTGCCACAGTTCGTGACAAATGCCTGCCTGAATCTGCTGCTGCTGCTCCCATGTATCCTCCATGGCCAGAAACTGGAACCTCAGCGTCACCACGAAATGACGGGTTGTGAGGCGCATTGGTGAAGTATTGTGGATGGCTTGACTGCAGCACGTTCAGGTCCATCTTGTTAAACATCATGCTAGCTATGGATCGGTCGATGGAATTTGTCTCCTGTTCCATTCCTCTGCCACCAGACCAAGTGTTAAAAGAAGGGTTACCCGGCATAGGTTAGTAAGTTGGAAACAGAAAAATAGTAAATGGAGAAACAGAGTTGCTTTAGTTGCAGACAAGGTGAAGCTTATGAAGACCAAAGAGCAAACAATGAAAAGTTATGAACTTTGCATGCTAATTTAATGAGGTGCGACACCTCCCATGCTGATCAATCAATGAGCATCATTCAAGAGACCAAATAGACAGTTGGGAAGGACATAAGTACCTTGATTCCTCAACTTTAGCTGTCCATGAAGGAATGTCCATGGCAACATCTTCATTTGCTACTTCATGGGGTCTTGAGTTTTTGGCCAAACGATACAAGGAGTCACGAAAGCATATTCGGGTCTTTGTAGGCAACTGATAGATTTAAAAAGTGCAAAACATAAATATTGTTACCATCTGCCATTTCTTTAAACTGGTAAAAGACTTTTGACTAACATTTATTTACATTACCTGTGCCATCACCAGTTCGAACTCATGTAGAGCAGACTCCTCCCTAGATGGTTCCTTTAGTAGTTGGATGTCTTTGCAGTCTTCCTCAGTTGGTGTTACTGATACAGTAAAAGGAGGTACCTTGACAATGGATTTGAAATGATTAGTATAAGCTGTATCATAGATGAGGGGTAACTACATAAGCTTTTAGCATTGTCACTAAGTAGATACTCGCTTGACTAAGTCATAAGGAAAATGAAGTTCGACAACATGATACTTGGGTGAGAAGACCATCCCCAAAATGTGAGATAGTTAAGAGTCGGCCACAAATGTTCCCTTCTTCAATGTACTTTTGTTGGCTCAACGAATTGCAAAACAGAAAATTATGTTTGTATCTAATAAGTGAGTGATATACATTTGGCATCCTTGGATGACATGCTTAAATTAGCTTGTGGGAAAATGTCACCTTTAGTTGATGAATAACTGATTTCTCCAAGTCACACGGACTGTACTGTGACGATGCAGGAACTCCACCATTGCTTGATATTGAGTCTGAATCTAAAGCGGTGGCTTCTGTCCAGAGATCATCAACAGCAATCATGCAGTTTTGTGACTCGGATGAAAAGCAAGGAGAATTCTGTTCCATCTCTTGCATATCATCAAGCAAAGAACTCCTACAAAAGAACAAGGATGAAAACTATGAACAGCTAGAAGACAAGGCTCTACCAAGATCACTGGATCAAAGAAGTAAATTAGTTTTATGCCAGAGGTTAGGATTGTACAAGAAAAGATCATCCATAGGCTCGATCCCTGAAAGGCCATCCAGATGACAATCCGGCTGCCTGTGAAAAGACTCGTGGCATACCATTGCTCCTCCACCGAAACTTGAACAGCTAGATTGATCCCTGTCTGGGATAGTACTGCATTCCATGTCGAATTGATGGTTAGCAGAAGTATGCGTGTCAGATCGGAGCTGTTCCGGAGCCAGATTTGTAGGGGATAGCAAGTATTTCTGAGAATAGTCATTGAAGGTATTGGAAGCATTTAGTGCCCAATTTGACCAACTATCCGGTGACTGGAACCCATCAGAAAACCCTTGATCTTTAGGAACAACAAGGTCATCGTACCCAAAACATCCATTCATCACGGAATCCTTTCCTACAACAACAAAACAATAGTACCCAAGATCAATAAGCATTCCCAAAAGATACTCAACATGCATAATAAGAATCAGAGATGGAAGACCAACAGGCAAGCTCATCAGTTTCTTGGATCTAAGTTTAGTAGAGAATATTACTCCTCCATCCTAGAACAACTAGACACTCAAATCGGAAAAATCCCATATGAGAATTGCAGTTCTCTCGAACTTCTTCCCTATCTTTTCTCAACAACCAAAAATTCTAAGTGAAAAAGAAAAGATGGGAAGAAAAGGAAATCACATCCTAATATGCCAACTCCTTTAACAAACCAAAGGAGAAACCAAAGCCTTAAGAGATGGACAACAGGGAGCCAACCCTAAGCAAAGAAGTGAACAAACCTTGAGGGGAAGGTGGATCAATCAATAGAAATGAAGGATAACCCAGTTGTCGATTTGCAAAGATAGGCGCTGAACTCTGAACCCAGATGAGAAAAACACCCAGAAATTATTATAAGAACCGTCGATCAAGATATGCAAGGGCGGCGGCTCTGATTTGCTCCGGTTTGAATAAGCTTTTTATCAGCTGCAGGCTTTCTATTTCAATACGTCGCTGAAAGTTGTGATAATTGTGTAGATGGAGTCCAGCGTCGACACAAGTTTGGGCTGCAAATGGAGTGTATCCTAGAAATTGTATGATAAGAGAATTTGGGAAGAAGAAAGTTAGGGAGGGACAGCCCCCCACTAGGGTCTGAGAATTTGTGGCTGAGAGCTAATGACCAGAAATTTGTGGCTGCCAGCGCTCCATCTAAATCTGCTATCTCATTCGTCCACGTGTCCAGGGAGCTAGTCCCACCACTCGGGTTTCCGGGTTGGGGAGGATTACCGGTCGTTTTCCCGTCTGGCTGGGTGGGGTCCCCTTTATGTGGGCTCCACGTGCTCTACATGTTCCCAATTTTTGTATTTTCCCCGAGGGGCGATATCCCCAAGCGTACGCTGTCCCTACCAGTGGGGGTAATTTGGTCTATTGGCGGGTGAGTACGTGGAGTGTAGATCACAGCAACCTAGGATAGGAAGGAAAAAATCCAAAAGTACCGCTGTTTAAAAAAAAAAAAATTAAAATACCACTCAACCCCAAAAAATTCCAAAAATACCACCATTTTTCAAAAACCGCCACCCCACCCTGCGGTTTACACGAAAACCGTTTGTCGGAGGCGCGGTTTTCTATGCAAACCGCGGGCCTAGGGGGCGGTTATAAAAAAAAAAATTTGACCAAACCGCTGGGTGGGGTGGCGGTTTTGGGTCAAACCGCCACCCCACCCAGCGGTTTGGTCCAAAATTTTTTTTTTTTTCGATCAACTCCTAACTTCGGCCGAAACTTCAAACGAACGTAACTTTTCACACGGGTATCCGATCGTAGCGATTTTTTTTCATTTCGCATAACTTTTCAAGATCTACAACTTTTATTAGGATGAAATTTTCAAAACTGGAACTATTTGTGGATATACGGGACCTTGGGAATAACTTTACCTTTACTTTTCACAAATTCATGTATATTTTGAAATTATGATTATATTAAAAGTTGTAGATCTTGAAAAGTTGTGTGGAATCAAAAAAAAATTCATCAAATTCGGATTTTGGAGCACAAAGTTATGGCCGCCCAAAGTTTGACGGAATCAAAAAAAGGCTCGTTCGGGGTGGCAAATGACGTTTTTTCGAGACGAAGGCGGGACCCGGCGGTTTGCGGCTTGCAAGATCTCAAAAATTTATTCGGATTCAAAAAATGGAGGCCGCAAACTTTTTGAGATCTTGCAAGCCGCATACTGCCGGGTCTCGCATTTCGTCAAACTTTGGGGCCTCCATTTTTTGAATCCGAATAACTTTGCGGCCTCCATTTCGTCAAACTTTGGGGCCTCCATTTTTTGAATCCGAATAACTTTTTGAGATCTTGCAAGCCACAAATTGCCGGGTCCCGCCTTCGTCTCGAAAAAAGGTCATTTGCCACCCCGAACGAGCCTTTTTTTTATTTCGTCAAACTTTAGGCGGCCATAACTTTGTGCTCCAAAATCCGAATGTCATGAATTTTTTTTTTATTCAACATAACTTTTCAAGATCTACAACTTTTACTATAATCATAATTTCAAAATATACATGGATTTGTGAAAAGTAAAGGTAAAGTTATTCCCAAGGTCCCGTATATCCACAAATAATTCCTGTTCTGAAAATTTCATCCTAGTAAAAGTTGTAGATCTTGAAAAGTTATGCGAAATGAAAAAAAGAATCGCTACGATCGGATACCCGAGTGAAAAGTTACGTTTGTTTGAAGTTTCGGCCGAAGTTAGGAGTTGATCGGAAAAAAAAAAAATTTGGACCAAACCGCTGGGTGGGGTGGCGGTTTTGGGTCAAACCGCCACCCCACCCAGCGGTTTGGTCAAAAAAAAAAAATTTTAGGCCCGCGGTTTGCATAGAAAACCGCGCCTCCGACAAACGGTTTTCGTGTAAACCGCAGGGTGGGGTGGCGGTTTTTGAAAAAGGGTGGTATTTTTGGAATTTTTTGGGGTTGGGTGGTATTTTTGGATTTTTTTTTTAAACAGTGGTATTTTTGGAATTTTTCCGGATAGGAACCCTGGCGCGAGGGAGTTTTACTTTCGCCTTGACACGTGGACACATGCAAATGAACCGCTTTGACGCGTGTGAGCGTAGCACAACGGATGGGGACACCAACCACTAGGTCCGGATTAGTTTAGGGTTAGTAATTATGAGTAAGCCTTTAATATTTTTTGCTTTAATTTTTAATAGATGATTTATCTCTTCTTATAAGTTGGAATTTAAATTTTATTCAAAGATAAATCAGATTAATTTTGTTTTTCAAAATAATATCCACTTTGATATATTTTTAGAACAAAAAAATTGATGTATTTTTTACGAGTCTTTACGATATGGTATTGACTAAATGAAATAAGAGTATATTATATGGTATGAAAGGCGTACCATGATGGTATGAACAAACAAAGACTGTAGGATGGGTGGATACATGATTTTGTAAAGAGTATACTAACTGTCATTTATGATTTTCATCAATGTGTACCACAAGTTACCACCTCTCATACCAAGGTGGTATAGTATGGTATTTTTTTGTCCAGTATTTTTTTCCCAAAAAATTTGTAGATCTAATAGATAATGATGAACTCGTTCTTAATGTGCAAATATTTTCAAAAACGAATTAAAAACGAAGGAGATACCATATGGTATGGAGTTGGTAACGAAAGGTATGAAATAAAATTCTCAAAAAATATTGAAAATTGATCTCATTTTGTAGAGCACAACGACCTCGTTCAATCTGGGCAAAAACAATTGAAATTCGAGTTAGAACGAAGAATATAAGAGTCGATTAAGAAAATTAGGGAAAATAAAATGTCTTTAATTCACAACTTTTAGATCTGAATTTTCTAGACCCACTTAAATTCAAATGTCCAGTTTTAGTTACTCATGGGTGAGTAACCAATGGTTACTAACCCTATCTTGATCCCCAACAACCAGTGCCTTTTTATATCTCAGTTATTGTAACATCTTAGATAAATCTCACATCGACAAAACACAAGAGAGATCTCTGATTCATAAGAAAGAAATCGATCTTAATTGACAAAACGCGTTTGGGATTAAATTGAAGAGTTATTGTAAGAAATTCAAAGTTAAACATGCTCAGTGTGAAGCACTACAAAAATGGATAACCTTATGGGAAATCACCTTGATATGCACCCCAAGATAAAAAAAAAAAACTATGTTAATTCCAAGATAAATTTTTTAGGGTAACCACTAATTATTAGCCAAACATTTACCGCATTCTCTTTTATTAGGCAAACCTATTGAAATATTAAAAACTATCGAATCCGATGAGAAGCAGGAAAATCGAAAGCGGATGAGATAATTAAACAACCCAAAAGTAAGAACTCGACAATGGATGAGAGGAGATATACAAAGATGAGGGGAGAAGAAGAAGAGGCGTCATTGTTGAATGAAGAAGAAGGAGTTGTCTTTGTAAGAAATAGCTTGCAGAAAACGGGGAAGTAGAAAGGAAGAAAGGGGAGGAAGGACATAGGTACAAATTTGGTTTGGGGGGGGGGGGGGGGGGGGAGAAAACGTGGTAGTGTCAAATTACTAGAGGGTGGGGGGTGATATTTCAAAACTTGCATTATCCATTCATGTGGGGGATTGTTGGGATTTTGAATGGTGTGAATGGAAATAAAAGGGGAAGAAGCCAATAGTTGGTGAGTAATCGGTTAGATTGGGTTGTGTGACCAACCCGAATCGAGTTGAACCGAACCGATATGGTGGTTGGAGTAAACCAACCGGTCCAACTATCATTGGCTGAACCGATGCAATGGTTCTTTATTTTAAAGTGATCTGATGTGTTGGTTGGGGTGTAACCACCCACCCGAAGGGTCACATCTAGAGGTGGCAATTAGGATCCAAATCTATGAAATCCAATCCATCCACCAAATTATCCACCTAATCCAAATCCAATTGGATTGGTGGATTCATGGATCAATCCATGGATCCAAATGGCAAATTACTATTTGGTACCTATATTTTTTATATTTTACATTTTGGTACCTAAAATTTATACTTTATATGAAAAAATATCATCGGAAAATTACATTTTGGTACCTAAATTTTTTCATTATGTCATTTCAGTACCAAAAGTTTTCAAATTTTACCTTTTGGTCCAAGCCTTGGATGTCATTTGGATCCATGGATCAATCTATCAATCCATTTGATCCAATCCATAAATCCACCAATACATTGGATCCAATCCATTTGAACCATGGATCCACCAATCCAATCCACAAATCCGATCCAATTGCCAGCTTTGGTCACATCCCTTCACTCACACCCCTTCATTTTTTATAAATAGCACCATCCCCCTCTGTTTTAGAAAATGAATTTTTTCCTAAAAGTATTTTCGGCCGAAAGAAAGAAAATAGTTTTCTTCTTCATTCCATTTTTCCTCTCTACAAATACATAAAAGAAAAACGAGTCGTGTGACTTCTCGCCGTTTGTTACGTTCGATGGTTTCTGGGGTTTCAACTTTCAAGTACCGGTACTCCAGAAAAAGTACGTCCGATCTATCCTGGGAGGAATAGTTCCAATAACCTTGGGTACCGTAGAGGGGAACTAAATTCTTTAAAGAGAAATAGTGAATTCTATTGGCTCGGACGGGGTTTATGCATGAGTCGTGTTTTCTTCTTTTATATGTTTTGTTCAATTTAATTACTGTATGTGACTTGTGTTGCAAGATATATTGTATACGGGAACAATTTTCACAACACATTTCTCTTCCTTTGTTTCTCTTCCTTTCTTCCCCTCTTTATAGGTCAGATCGGGTAGGTCAGATCGGAAATTTTCTGAAAGTCATTTTGAAACCCAATTTAAGTCGAACCGAATCCTGATCCTTCGCTTCTGCATAATTTGTCGAATTCAGGGCCACTAAAAACCCTTTGAGCAGTGAGCTCAATTATGGGCCCATTTAGTGCTTCCCGGCCCGGGTTTTATTCACGAAGACCCTTCTCATCTGAGTCATCTCGGCCGACGGCCAATTTCCCGCAAAGTCAATTCCGCTTTCCCGCGGCGAACGTCAGTTTTCCTCGACCAACATTCAAGCAAAATTCAGGTACCACGGTTTCAAGGGTTTCTAAGTTCTGTCGATCTTCCGATCATAAATGTTAGATAGCTACAGAATCAGCGTTCCTGTTTCCCTTTCCTTCATTGGTAGGGTAATTGACTATTCAATTCGATTCCAACCTGCGGAAAGCGTAATGGAACAACAATCTGGAGATTGTCCCGTGCGCTAGGTGCTCAATCTCTTCTAAAGCTGTTTTCTTTTCGGTATATGCAGCAGTCCGCTGAGTTTCTTGAACCACCATCCACATGTTCAAAAACACATTTCAATCTGGATTCCTCTCCATTCTATACAGTCTCGGGTGAGTTGTGGGCTCTTTTTTTTTTTTTTTTTTTTTGTGGTGAACTATCCATCTTTTCCTTCTCCATATGTTGATTATTTTTCTCTCTTCTTAGGAGCAAACCTCTGCAGATATGGGATAAAGAAGGTAAAAGCTTGATTGCCCCTTTCCTTTTTAGTTGGATGCTTGCCCCTTTCCTTAGTTTGATGGATTTTTGAAATGCTAACCCAGCCTTGTTTTCTGAATCTGTTGCAGTTTCAAATGGGCATGTGAAACGGCCTCATGATGAAGACATACAGTCCAATGTACTGGAAATCGTTGGAACGAAAATCCAGTCCACTTACATTACATGCCCAGCTGACCCTAATGCCACACTCGGTATAAAACTGCCTTTCCTGGTCATGCTCGTCAAGAACATGAAGAAGTACTTCACGTTTGAGATTCAAGTGCTTGATGATAAGAATGTCAGGAGACGTTTCCGTGCTTCTAACTTTCAAGTGTGTAAGTTTGCCCCATGTTTTATTTATTTATTGTTGTGTTGGTTAGTTTCCTTTGGAACTCTCAATTCATTTTCTTGTCGGTGTTAGTGGAGTGTTACTAGTCTTGAGTTTCTTGTTTGAGAAAGATCGGTCTGGTTTAGCCGTCATGAACGTGTTTCCAGTTGATCAGAGCTCTCCACTATAAATGATTGTTTCTCCTCCAAGTTTTTGCCTTGCCTAAAAGTTATGATTAATTTGTTTTAGCTGGTGAATTCCCCAATTGCAATGAGTTGAACGTTGAAAAAGATTGTGTGATATACACAAACTGATGGTTTCACAGAATGTTACCTCTACAAATGTACCGATTTCAACTTCTTTCTTCAGGCTGTTACTCGGGTGAAGCCATATGTTTGCACCATGCCGTTGAAGCTTGATGAAGGGTGGAATCATATACAGTTGAATCTGGCTGATTTTACTAAGAGGGCTTATGGGACCAACTACGTCGAGACTTTACGAGTTCAGGTGCATGCAAACTGTCGCTTAAGAAGGATATATTTCGCCGACCGGCTCTACTCAGAAGAGGAACTCCCACCTGAATTTAAACTTTACCTTCCAATGCAGCAGGTATAATCGATTTATTTTCGCCTGGGAAATCGGTTGTATCCTCCCTAACTTATTAATCACGAGTTCTCATTCTGCAATTGCTGGTTCAAATTGCAGAAAGCATGAGGATATTTTTGGGTCTCTGCTGCCGGATGTTATCAGTTCAACCATTGCACTGGGCTTCTGGCTTTCTCCTCTACGCTTTTTATAGTGTCGCTGTTGGGTTTGCTATGGTACTTGGTAGATACAAGTATCACTTTTTATTCTTCTTAAACTAGATGAATTTTGTGACTGTTGAATCAGGTCAAACAGTTTTGTGTCGAAACAGTTAAGACTCAGATGGATTAGCCGTGTACTTTGGCCCCTGATAACGAGAGTTAATTGGTTTCTCCAGCAATACATTGTTAATCTCGTCTCATTTTGATACGAAAACAGGGAGCATGCATCCCAAAATACATGGACCTATGTATTTCCTCATTTCCCTTGACTAAAATGCGTTGCTCAATCTTTTATCCTTAGATTTCAAATTCACAATATAATTGTCGAAAATTGCAATATGCATAGTTTACAATATGACATATAGGTTTTCTGGTTTTGTATGAGTAACATCAACCGAGTTTGAAAAAATGAGATTGTTTAATCATAATTGTCGTAAATTACAATAAAAGCTCTAAGTTGCACTCAGTCCTCAAACACCTCCCTCTCAAATTCTGTTTCCAGGGTGGAGCATGTTTGAAATGTTATAATTCAAATACATCATGGTTTGAAATTTTGTATTCTAAACATTACACGTATTTCATAATATTACCCACAAAGTACATTTTTTTTCTTACGTCAACCCGTCGATTCCATTCTGCATAATGGAACGCTAAAGATTTCTGGTTATGTTATAACATATAAGGTGCTAACATAAAATGACATTACAGAATATTTGCTGTCATTACTGTTTGGGTCATGGTTGGAAGAGAATCAAGTGCCATCGTCACTGTTTTTGCCGACACATTCATGTCCGAGCTCTTACGCTTCTGGTATCACCACAATAGAGAGATAATTCAGCTCACAGCTTCTATATCTGCCTCAGCGTCGGTCTCTCCGTCACCCGTCCCTGTTTCTACTGCTTCGCCATCCTGTTCAAGTGGTCCATCGGTTTCGAGTTGCCCTGCTTCTTGACCCACATCAGTATCGGAGTTCTGCTTTTGTTCCTCCTCCGGTGTTGGAGGACTACCACCATCTTGGGAAGTGTTTACAGTTGCTGCATCTGTCTCCATTGGCGCTGCCGAGGCTTCAACATCAACTGGCCTAGCACCTTCACCATCGTTCTCACTTGCAGCCTAATTAAATACAAAGGCCAGACAGTGAGATAGGGTGGCTAACTAGTTTTGGTTTTTCAGTTAACCAGAGACCAAATCAGTTGCTATAACTAAAAACTAAAACTAACTGAAAATTCAAAGCATAAAAAGCAAGGATAAAATATAAATCTCCATCAAATTGACCCCACAAAAACCATGGAAACCAGTTTATGCCAGTCATTAAGTTCAGACTTCAGATGGATACCCATTAGATCAAAATGAAATAAAAATACCTGAGCTTCTTCTGGTGGTTGTGGCCCACCCTTGGCTTCTTCCTTCTTGGCACGCTTAGATCTGTCACTCGGTTTAGCCTGGTACTTGGATCGGACATCGGGTGCCAGAATTTCTAGAGGAACTACTCCTTCAACACCAAGGTCAGTGAACTGCCAACAAGTTGCTTTCATAGTAAGAAGGATAAACAAATTGGACCCCTGATTAATAAACTGACAAACATCACAGTCAAAACTTACTTTTGAAAAACCCTCGAGGTCCTGCCTTGCTGAGAACCGCAGACCTTTCCAGCAATATACCTGCATGGAAAATTGTTACTATATTTGTATTGACAAGCTCCGAGCTTTCCTGTCAAACTGTCATTAAGAAAAGAAAAACGATATGGCGAGCATATAACTACCCTGTTGTTCTTGTGGTGATATTCTGCTTCAATTCCAGCTGCCGGGTCCATCTGTTCAGAAAATGAAGAGAAGCACTGTTATCTTCCCACAAGGTGGGCATAAAACCAAAGCGGGAGATGTTATTTGAGTTTCAAAAAGCAGAAAAGCTTACATCTTCAGCCAAGGGTTTCCAATATTCCGTGATTGAAGGAGTCCGAACACGCTGAGGGTCAGTCAAAGCATTCTGTGGAGCATCAACCCAAGAGTTAAGTTAATGTAAGAACTAAGAAGTAATACTGAAGCAGAGATCCAAAACAGCACATTCGAGAGTTTTTACATACAGGATTTTGGTCTGCCCATTTCCACAATTGAGATAGTTCTTTGTTTCCCAACCTCCACCTCGGTCTACTGCAGGATTCAAAAAAAACATGTACCACATACACGCAAGTGTGAAACAACCATCAGAAGCAACAAACTATTGGTAATGCTAAAGCAGGGATCAGTGCGTGGGGCATATTACCGTTTCCTATTTCCTTCCTGGACTGATTTCTTCTCTGCTGGTTGTTTTTCAAATGGAGGACATCCGTCACGCTTCCACCAGACCTAACAGCACCAGCAGTGTGAATTATTAACTATCATATCCTCATTAGATGATACAAGAAAAGAAGGGGGGGGGGGGGGGGGGGGGGGGGGGGGGGGGGATGCAAAAGTAAGCCTATACCCAGTTTTTTTCACGTTCTATTATGTGCTCAATCTTGCGAAGAAAATCTTTTCCTTTAGGAGGAGTCATCTCCAGTAATTTCTTCACACGCTCCTCGCAGGATTTTATCTCTTCTTTCTGGCATGTGCAAGAATAATATGAAGTGAGTTTATAGCAAGAATAATAGATGTTTGCAAGTTTCAAGGTACACAAAACATACAGGAAACGTCCAAACTAGAGTGAATAATAACAGATGTTTGCAAGTTTCATAGCCAAAGATCAGATGCAGATTCATTGACTTGTATACAGGTGGGTAGTGTCTACACATACTCTTTTGGCCATGCATGCCATGATAACTTGGATTCATCAAGGCATGTTATTTAAGGGATACAAATAAGCCAAAAGCTTACAAACTCGATAAGGAATAACACGAACCATAGTTTCAGAAGTGACATCCTTGTCAGTTTTACCAGGAGCCTACAAAGAAAATCATAGTTCAATTTGATCAAATTACGAAGAATGAAAATGTGCAATGTAGCAAAGCAAAATATTTGATAGCTCATTCTGAAACTTTCATCTATCATTACCTTAAGATAATCAAAGAGTATAAGGCACTGTACAAGAACATGGCGGCGGAAGCTCGGATCTTTTAACTGGAAAACACATAGATAGCTAGCTATATGTTATAGCAGATATATGCAATGTATGTTTGTATAACCAGTTACGTCAATACCAATTACCTCTAGTCCCATCAAGTTACTGCTAGTAAGATACTTTATGTTGAAAGATGCTGCCTCTTCCTCCAAATTATTTGCATCTCCTTCTTCCTCACTCAACGGTTGTGCTTCAAAGGTATCCAACACAACCTACAAATCAAAAGTCAATGGACTTGTATTGAAGCCAAAGCAGAAAGAGAGACCCCGGACCACATCTTCTAGTGAAGAATGTACCTTTAGACTAGATGTATATTTCTGCCACTTGGCTGGCGAAACGGTTAAGGAGGCAGGGTTGCAAAAGAATTCCTGGAACAACAGTTATGCAAGATATTTTAGCTTGGTTGAACAAAAAAAAAAAAAAGATATTTTAGCTTAAGAATAGAAAATCTCCACAGGTTGGGAACATTAACCAATTAAGCCATTAATAACTGCAATACATCTTGCGATTCCACATTCAGATAAACCGATGTCCTTTGCTCACCATCAAATGATTCCATTAAAATGTTTTGAAGTACCTGTAAACTCCACAATGTTTTGTAGTAGTTGAAGTCAATAGAAATGCCTACACAAAGAAGGAAGAGATAAGAAATACCGCGCTAAAAACACAGGCTATAAGATAGTGGAACCAAATAGCAATTTATTTGAAGCTAGATTGTACCTTCTGGTGGATCCTTTTCATACTTCGTCTCATTTGATGTGTTGAAAACTCCTTTAATGTTAACCGCTGTACACATGAAGTAAAGGACTGGATTAACAGCTTCACTCTAGGCAATCCATGAATGGAGGAGATTGAGCATGGATAATAATATACCTGAACGCTCTGATAATGGGAAAAAGTGTGCGAGAAACATGAGAATTCGTCCACAGAAAACAACATCATTTGCCTGGAAATCAAATCTCAAGAGATTATTACTATAAGTTCCAAATGGGCAACATTACTGCAACATGAAAGGCAACCATACCTAAGCAAATTTCTTAAGAAGAATCCGAGAGAGAGAGAGAGAGAGAGAGAGAGAGCATGTAACAAGAATAAGAAAAGACTTCATCCAGAGCTGCCCTTTGATTTAAAAAAAAAAAGCAAAATAACCAAGAAAATATTCTACCATTTATGAATACTGAATCACGCTTAGAAGATCACAATAACTTATTATTTCTGAAATTGTAATATACTTTTCAGTCTTAGAACAATGATGTGATAGAGTCAATGGTGCAGTTCTCAGTAAATAAAGAGCAGCTTGTCAGAAAACCGATACGCATACAAGAAAGTTTCTTATGAAGATGTATCATGAAAAATTCAGCAATCAGTTAATGTACCTTTGAGAGGCGTCGAAGAAGTTGATTACAAGTCCTCAACATAACAAGTTTTCCACGAGCAAAAAGTTCTTGCTGAACATAAAGGGGAGACTTAATAAGCTCACACAATATAAACCAAGATAGTATCTGAAACATCATACAGCTCTTTAAATCACATACCTTCCCAAGTATGTCCTGTTTACCCTCTATGTAGCCAAATACGTCTTTGCAATTCCTCATGGTGGACATTTCAGTCAAGTCTTCCAACAGCTGAAATATCATTCCACCTTCAATATGTTCTCTCTGACAGAGATAAAGCACAACATCTGGCAGAACAAAAAAACTATTCAGTGACTTTTACGAAGGTTGGAGCTCCTCGTTCCCTTGGTTTGTCTGGAAGTCATATGTCAATCAAGTGGAAGATTCTATATTTCAAGGAACTACCACTGCTACTCAGCTGCAGATTAGGCATTATTGGTTTTCGTGCAACTGGCTATTTAAAAGCACCTACTGTCTCACAATCCCTTATAGAGCTTATAGTTCACAAAATTATTCTATTACGCATATCTACAGATGACAAGTAGCATAGTACAGGAGAACTAAAGCAAGTCACCAATGGCTAGCGAAATTATGAACATACCTAAGAGATGAGGGATTAGGCCCTGAGAACTTTCTTCGTTATCAATTGATTGTCCATACTGCATTATTGGCTCCCCTGACTGTGCTGCTGAAGACTGCCATTATCAAGGTTAAACATCTGAAGTCAACAACTGTGAAAGGCAATGGATCGTAGATAACTCCAAGGCAACATCTATGTAAGAAGAAGAAGAAGAAAAAAAGTGAATGTGCACCACAAGCTCTTGAAGTAATGTTCGGAGCATGTTTTCCAACAACTGATTCTCATCTTGCACTAATTTTGTTTGCCTCTGTAACCAAGTAACCAACCAAAACCGTTAGCCATGAGACACGCAGACCAGAAGCTTGGCAGAACTGAGAAGAACATACCTGAGGTTTGATAAACTCTTGAACAGTTTGAAGAGCGAAATTCTCAGGAGGCCCAGGCTGAAGGATTGCTGTCTTGAACTCTTCCTGCAGAATTTGATCACCAAGTAAAGGGAGTCAAAAACATTAACCCCTACAGATAGCGGAACCCTAAACCAATCCAGAATGCCGGAAGCAAGACTGTGAATTGAATAAACACAATAACGCAAATGGGGCGCTGAAAAGAGGTAGAGTTTCATACCATTTCGGAAAGCTCTCGATGGCCGGCGAGCGTCAGATAGGAAAGTAAATACCTTTCGTGTCTTCTCTTTTTAGCTACACAGAGGGCAGCTATCTCAAACTGATGAGTCGGCGAAGTTGGGAAAGGGGTAAGTCCGGCGACCGGCGGCGTGTAAGAAATTACTAAACCAGCTAAAGTCAGATCTTGCGAGACATAATCGGCTTGGTGGATTTGGCCAAGGATTTTATGAATGATTTAGGTGAATGATGAATTTTGTTCAAAATTTATTATTTATTTCAAGTATTTAGAAATAACAGTTTTATGAATGATGAGCGGCTGGGCCTGCATCAATACTGATGGCTCAGTCACTCTCACTCATTCTCCTGCGAGCACGACATGTGGCGGCATCGTGAGAGGGGACGATGGACGATTTATCCGAGCATTTACAGCGAACTTGGGAGGGGGTTCGATTACTCGTGCGGAGCTGACTGGGCTTGCTTATGGGTTGAGACTGGCTTGGGAGGAGGGGTTCAGGAAAGTTGTTCTACAGACTGACTCGTGCACTGCGATCAGCCTGGTCGAGAAGGCTACTCCACAGCATCCACATTTCACCTTGGTGGCTGAGATCCGCCGATGGCTTCATCAGGGGTGGCAGGTTAGGATCGAACATGTTTACAGGGAAGCAAATTACGTGGCTGATCACCTTGCTTCCGTTGGTCATTCGTTACCCATTGGGGTTCACGGGATCCAAGTCCCGAATAGCACTCTGAGATACTGGTTGTTTTTTGACTCTTCGGGGATTCGTACACCCCGTCTTATTAATACGCAATAAAGGTTAGGACGCCCTTAGCGTCCTGAATTCACCCAAAAAAAAAAGAAAAAAGAAATAACAGTTTTGTTGGATCATGGATTTTGAGGGTTAACTTTGGTGGATTCACTGATTTAAAAATTTCACTTCTATTTGAGAATTGATCATGAATTTTAAAGTCCGTCATTTATTACCAGTTTAGTTCTCATATTTTATTTATTTTCTTATATCATTGAGATTAACAACGGTAAAAAAAGGTAAATTTTACATCATACATACAATTTTAATTAACAAAATCTATAATAAAATCCATAAAACAAAGAATAGTGTTTTTCAACTCCATAATGAACCTAAAATCCTCATATATTCATGATTTTTCAAAATCCAACTCGTTTGCTTGTTGGATTTGAAAATGAAGGTTTTGAATTTTAAAAACCTTTGGATTTCTGATGAATTTGTTGCATTATGGATTTGGAAAAGTACATTGTTTATTTAATTTATTTTTATCATGAATTCTTGATGGATTTGTATCACATTTTGCTTTCCATTATCAAATCTCATATTAAATCCCAAAGGATCCACGAATTTAGATCTAATAAACGAGTCCAAATCTATGGACCCCACGAATTTGTGTCATTTAGCAAATAATGAACTTATGTCTATTTCATAATGCTTGGAATTTAAGTATCAAATCAATAACCCACAAGCAAGGTTGTCAAACCGGTTTGGGCCAGTGTGCCGGTTTAGCAAGTGGAATTGTTCGACCGGTGGTACATACCGGTTTGTGCCGGTTCATGCCGGTTAATATTATAAATACTCATATTTAAGCACGACATTTAACGTCAAAACCTAAATATTTGTACTTGAATCCAACAAATAACATCAACATTTAACTTTTTAACACATAAAATAAATAATAAATTACTTTTTATCAAATAAATTCACTAATATAAGATCATTTTACTTAGAGATTCGTATATCGATCATGCCGATCATACCGGTGATGTTATACCGGTTTTATGACCGGTATAGGTTGAACCAGGTTCAACCGGTGGCACGCCGGCCGGCGTGACAACCATGCCCACAAGCAAAGTTATACCAAAAGCTTACTTTTTCAAATACACAAAGTAAACGACTTTTGTCCACATGTGTGAAGCCCGGTAATTCCAAAGAATAAGCAGCCCATGGACTAGCAACAAGTCCTTGGGCCAGGCCCAATGAGGACAGGCAACGTTTTAATATCTTAAATCTTCCAGTCTCTTGCTAGTTACCATAGTCGCTTCGCTCAGGCTCGGATCTCATCTGCGTTCCAGTTTTACACTCTCCTTCTACTTTATCTCAGTTAGGGTTTAACGACGATCGCTTCGCTTCTCCAAGATCTTTCCTCACGCTGCTACTCCAATGGCGGCGCCAGCAGTCTCCCAACCGAGATCCTCGAAGACGGAGTCGTATGTCGACAACAAGAGGAAGGAAGACGTCCGCCAGGCTAATATCACGGCGGCCAGAGCAGTTGCCGATGCGGTGAGGACCAGCTTGGGCCCGAAAGGGATGGACAAAATGATTTCCACGGCCAGCGGCGAGGTGATTATCACCAACGATGGAGCTACGATTCTGAACCAGATGGGGGTTCTCCAGCCAGCTGCGAAGATGCTGGTCGAGCTCTCTAAGTCGCAGGACACCACCGCCGGTGATGGTACCACCACCGTCGTCGTCATTGCCGGTGCGCTTTTGAAGCAGTGTCTGTTGCTACTGTCTAGTGGAATCCATCCCACGGTAATCTCCGACTCTCTCCATAAAGCCTCTGTTAAAGCTGTCGATGTGCTAACTGCTATGGCAGTACCTGTTGAGTTGTCCGATCGTGAATCGCTTGTCAAATCTGCGAGCACTTCGTTGAACAGTAAAGTGGTCAGTCAGTACTCCACTCTTCTTGCTCCTTTAGCTGTTGATGCGGTGTTGTCAGTGGTTGATCCGGCCAAGCCTGATTTGGTAGACCTTAGGGACATTAAAATAGTGAAGAAGCTTGGGGGAACTGTGGATGATACCGAGATGGTTAAAGGTTTGGTATTTGATAAGAAGGTGAGCCATGCTTCTGGTGGACTCACACGGATGGAGAATGCCAAGATTGCTGTGATTCAGTTCCAAATATCACCTCCTAAAACTGATATAGAACAAAGCATTGTGGTGTCTGATTACACACAGATGGATAGGATTCTGAAGGAAGAGAGGAATTATATTTTGGGGATGATTAAGAAGATCAAGGCAACTGGTTGTAATGTGTTGTTGATTCAGAAGAGTATTCTTAGAGATGCAGTCACAGACTTGTCACTGCATTACTTGGCTAAAGCCAAGATCTTGGTTGTGAAGGATGTGGAAAGAGATGACATTGAGTTCATTACCAAGACCTTAAACTGCTTGCCAATTGCTAATATCGAGCATTTCAAAGAAGAGAAGATGGGTTATGCTGATCTTGTGGAGGAGGTTTCAGTAGGGGAAGGCAAGATTGTGAAGATCACTGGGATTAGAGATATGGGAAGGACTGCCACTGTTCTTGTTCGTGGGTCTAACCAGTTGGTTCTCGATGAAGCTGACCGGAGTTTGCACGACGCACTGTGTGTCATTAGATGCTTGGTCAACAAGCAATTCTTGATTGCAGGAGGTGGGGCTCCTGAGATTGAGCTGTCCAGGCAGCTCGGTGCATGGGCCAAAGTTCTGCATGGTATGGAAGGTTACTGTGTGAGGTCATTTGCAGAGGCACTTGAGGTCATCCCTTATACTCTGGCAGAGAATGCAGGGCTGAACCCTATTACCATTGTGACCGAGCTGAGAAATAGGCATGCCCAAGGAGAGATCAATGCTGGGATCAACGTGAGGAAAGGGCAAATTACAAACATCTTGGAGGAGAACGTTGTGCAGCCATTGCTGGTGAGCACTAGTGCCATAACGCTGGCAACAGAGTGCGTGAGAATGATTTTGAAGATTGATGACATTGTAACAGTCAGGTAGAGGTAGTTTGTTAAACAAGCAGGGAGTGGGTTTGAATGTGTGTCTGTTTCCTTTATCTATGCTTTCTGTCTTTCTCCTTACGAACGATTGTTGATGGTTGAGGATGTTGATCTATGTACTTTGTGTGGAGGGGACAAATTTTGGCTTGGGTTTCAGACGTCCTATGCTTTATTCTGGAGGAACTTTTTAATGTAGTTTTGCTGATATGCCCTTTCCCTTGTCATGTGTCTCTTGTTAATCTTTGTACTATTTGCACGCCTCCTGTAATAGTAGGACGTCATTTCATTCTGAGTTTCAGTAGTTTCCTTTTTGTTTTTGTTGTGGCTTGTTTGCTTCATGGATTTGGAAAATGAAAGTTTTGGTTAAAACTTGGGTTTTACAAAATCATGGATATATGATGGAATTGGCCAATTTGGTTTTTGGTATAAACCATCGTTTGCTTGTTGGATTTCATGATGAATTTGACATTGTTATATTTGTGGTCGTATTAGGAATTTATCTTAGCGCCCTTATTGAGTATTATTTATTTTTACATTATAATTTTTGTTGCAAAACAATTTTCATCCAATATCTTTGTCCTACTACCACAATCGGAACAAATGAACATGATTAATCAATAACAACTTCATATTATACACATAATTAGACAATTCCTTAAGATTTTCAATGTTGCAAAGTATGCTTTGAGATTAATCAAGTAGTGTTTGCATGCAATGAATAACGAATATTGAATGCAAATTAATATGCACTACAAGTTGGTCATTAGTAAATGAAAGAAGATAAGTTGGTGATTAGTTTAATAAGTAGGGTTAAAATTGTAAAAAGTCATCATGAACTTTGTACCCCAACACAAATCCCACCTCTTGAGGTGGAATTCTCAAGTCTGTGGGGTCCATAGATTTGGACCATAAAAGTATGCGGGCCCCGCAGATTTATTCATACTAAATCCATCATGCAAATGACGAATTGTGTACAAAGTTCATGATACTTAGGGGTCGTTTAGATGTGGAAATTTAATGCAATAATTAGACCCAATTACCACATAATGCAGTAATTGGATTAATACCCCACGTTTGGACGCGCAAAAAGGGTATGAGAATTGGACCGTGGAAATTGGCTTCAATTACCACATTCATTGTAAATGAGAATACTACATCTCCCCCTAGTAATTTGACATTACCACGTTTTCTTTCTTCTATTTCCAAATGTGTCCCTATGTCCTTCCTCTCCTTTTTTTTATAAGGGTGATATAGGTTTCATTTTGTAATTAAGGTACTACTTAAGGGATTCGAACCTGGGACCTCCTTTCTTTCTTACTCCTTCTCCGTTTTCGCCTAACTATTTGGCAAAATACACTTGTATAGCCATAACTTTCACGTTTGTGACAAATATAGCCATAACTATTCGAAAACCAAAAATAGCCCAAAAAACTTAGGGTAGTGTGACAAATCTAGCCAAATCCGTTAGAAACTTTAACGGAGTTAGAAACTCCGTTAGTTAGATTAACGTTAGGCTGACTAGGATGCCAAATCATCGGACACGTCAGCGACCAGTCATCAAATCATTGCCATGTCATTTTGAATTATAAAATTAATTAATTTTAAAATTAAAAAATAAATAATATTTTAATTTTCCCCTTCCCTGCCCCCTAGGCCCTAACTACCCCTTTCTTTTTCTTCTTTCCATTATCCTTCCTCTGATCTCCCACCAACAGAATCCAATTGAAGAAAACCCAAACCCCACCAACAGAATCCATTTCCCTTTCTTTTCTTTTTTCCATTCTCCTACCTCTTCTGTTTAATTTCTGCCTCTTGGGCTACCTTCCTTTTTATTCCCCTCCTCGATATATAGTTGTTTGAGCTCCTTCACACACTCACAATCCCTTCTTCCTCCTTCCTTCCTTCCTCCCTCCCTCCAGCCATTTCCTTTCTCTCCCGCACCTTGGTTGTGTGCTTTATCAGAAGTTTTTAGCTGACAATCCACAACCCACATTGCCTAATTAATCCACTAAGTGTGGATTAGTGAGTGCTTAAGCTTCCCTGTACATCATACATTTTTCTCTACTTGTCTCTGTTCTTCCCCTGTTTGAGCAGAGATAAGAGTAGCCGCCTGCTACTGCATTTACTGAAAAGTGGAGGAAAGAAGGAACAACCCATTTCTGCTATGTAATTATACAGTTATGGAGAAGTCTGCGAGGCGAATTTCAGCTGCTGCTGCTGCTCCCCTGCTTCTTCTGTTCTTACTCTGCTCTCTCCACTCTGCTTTTGCTGACCATGACTACGGCCAAGTTCTCAGCAAGAGCATTCTCTTCTTCGAAGCTCAGCGCTCTGGGTTCCTCCCCCATAACCAGAGGGTGACTTGGAGAGGTAGCAGGCGGTAGAGTAGTCTCAGGCTCCATCATTCCTCCTCGCGACGACCTCGGTCTACGAAGCCGCTGCGTGGTGGTCTGTCTCTGGATTTGACTACTCCGACAGCCATGGATTATTAAAGAATCAAAGGATGCAGTGGTGAAAAAGGGATTGAGTCATTGAGGAGGAGTTTTCTAGATCTGGAGATTTGGGATTTTGGTTTTGAATGTTGGATTTGGGAATGGAGATCGTCGTGCATCGGCCGTGTGGATTGAGAAGGTGGGGATCTGGAATTGAGAAGAGAGGGGAGGCATTATTCGTGGCGGAAGAGGAAAGGAGAGAGGGGAGAGAGAATAAAAAAATTAATTAATTATTTTTTATTTTTGTTTTCGGTTAATTCCACCTATTGACAAAATATTGCCAACTCAGCATTTTCCGTTAGTCTAGTCATACCGTTATATAACACCGTTAAAGGAATGGACGGAATTGGCTATTTTTGGTTTTCGAATAGAAATGGCTATATTTGTCAAAGGTGTGAAAGTTATGGCTATACAGGTGTATTTTGCCTAACTATTTCTTAAAAGAGTAGCCCCTTCTTTTTCATTCATCAACGGTACCTCTTCTTCTTCATCTCCCCTCACCTTCGTATATCTCCTATAATCCGTCGTCAATTTCTTAATTTTGGATTCGCTTAATTATCTCATTCACCATCGATTTCCCTACTTTTCCTCATCGAATTCGCCTAAACACTTTTAATATCCGTATTTAATGAATTAAATTGTTAACATTATTGTAATTTATATATGTACTTATTATTAAAATAATTAATTTTATATATTTATGGCTTTTACTGTACTATTAAATGTAATATTAGCTTAGAGATGAAGTAAAATAATAGTACGTATTTTATACGTAACTTTTCCATATCATATTTTTCTAAATATGCTTAAGTTAGCAACAATTAGTAGTTAGTATAATATATCAACAACCTTTATGAGGGGTATATGTATATAAACAAAGGAGGGCATTTTTGTATTTTTACCAAATTCCACACCATCAATTCCCACGAAACTAAACCCTATCCAAACGTGGAATTTTGTTCAATTTCCACAAGTCAATTCCTTGGTTTTGTAAAACATGGAAATTCAGACAAATTCCCACGTTTTCAAATTTTCACATTCAAACGACACCTAATTTTTAGGTACCAAATCCAGAAACAAACAAGGCATTGGGAGAAACCCGTAGAGGGGCTTTTGGGCATTTTGTGCCTCAATTGGCGCTTTTGTACATTGGTTCACTGAACGTGAATCTATAAGCTTAATCACTATTTAATGGTAACGAACATAAAATCAAACTAAATCTCAATAGAAAGACGACAGCTATTTATCCACAGTAAATTGAAGTGGATAAGCGCTTTGGTGAAATCATGTTGCTTTGACTAGGAATGATAATTTCAACTAATTCCATTTTACCCAATCTGTTTCACATGTTTTGGGTGGTTAATATCCCAATCTAGTTATGCTCCTAACAAGGGCTTTTGTTAGGAGATACTGATAGGGCCGGATGGGCCTCCACGTCGCCAAGCCGCCATCCATCGGTGAAGGAAAAAACGCGCCAGAATGTGAGGGAGGAGAGCCGATTCCATCGGCTGGGCCAAACCCACTCCGGCTTGCGGGGCCCGCCGGGCCCACTAATTCAAAAACAAAAACCCCTAAACCCTACCCATTTTCAGTTCTTCCCCAAATTACTTTTCCCCCTCTCTCTCTCTGCCTTTCTCTCTCCCTTTCCTCTCCCGAACGCAGACGAAGCGGCCGCGCGGTGTAGCAAACTCGGCAGCACCTAACTCGGCGGCAGCGAAGTCGATGATCTTGGCGGTGGCGACGATCTAGGCGGCGGTGGCGACGAAGCAGCGAAGTCGGAGATCTCGGTGGCGACGACCTTGCAGCGAACTCGGTGGTGGCGATCTCGGCGGCAGCGATCTTGTGGCAGCGACGAAGCAGCGATCTCGGCGGCGGCGCTTTGCAGGGAACTCGGGGTCTTGATCAAGTAAGGTTTCAAGCATAGTTTCGTGGATATTAGTTTTCGTTTGGACAGATTTGAGTTAGGGTTGCATGATTCGTTATTTTGGTGATTTTATTTCTGGGTTTAGTGGAATAGCTTTCTTTTTGTGTCGATATTAGTTCTGTTTGAGTCGATATTAGTTCTGTTTGAGTCGATATTAGTTCTGTTTGGTCGATATTAGTTTTGTTTGTGTGGATATTGGTTTTGTTCGAGCATGATATCAGTTGTGACTTTCCTGGATAGTTGTTTTATAGGATCTGGGTATTTGTCTTTGCAGGTGATTTATCAATGGCAAAGACTAAAACGAGCGGGAAGAGAGCGCCACCGACTTCACTCCCTCCACCACCACCACCACCGCGACAGCGAGAGGAAGATGAGGAAGAAGAAGATGCTGAATTCGAAGCAGAAGGAGCTGCACAAGAAGATGCTGAAGTCAAAGCAGAAACAAGTGCACAAGGAGCAACTCTAGGTCGGAAAAATCCGAGGTACAGATTTTGGACATTACATTATTTATTTTGCTTGGATTGTTTCTTTGATATATCTGGATATTGGTTTTGGCAAGCATGATATCAGTTGTGACTTGCCTGGATAGTTGTTTGATATATCTGGATATTTGTTTGACATGTCGGGATATTTGTTTGACATATCTGGATATTTGTTTGACATATCTAGATATTTGTTTGATATATCTGTACATTTGTTTGTGCATGGATTTATCAATGGCAAGAAATAAAATGACCGTAAAGAGAGCGCGGCGGAATCCACCGCCATTGCGAGAGCAGGATGAGGAAGAAGATGTTGAAGTTGCTGCACAAGGAGCTGCACAAAGAAATAATATTCTAGGACAAGGCAAGCCGTGGTACAGATTTCGGTGCCATACCAAATCTCTGCTAGATGTTATTAATTACTGGAAGGAAGAGCCAAGGTACTATGAAGCATGCAAGAAAGAGTTGGAGAAGGCTGGATTTGGAGGGTTATTGGAGCTTCGATTGGCAAATTTTCCTAAGAAGTTGTTCGATTCCTTGATGGCACAGTACGAGTTGGTCACCAGTTCATTCATTTTCGGTGAAGGGGAGAACAAGAAGGTGCTTACAATCGAAGCTGAGGATGTTGCCCGTGTTTACGACCTTCCTATTGGTGGAGCTGAGATTGATGTCGTTAGGTCTAACGACGAGATGCTTGATATGTTCATGGAGAAGCTCAACATCGAGTGTAATCGAAGTCGAAATGTCGAAGTCATGCATCTTAGAGAGGCAACCTGTGGTGGTCCAGATGATGCACCGAACAGGAGACCACCTGTTGCAGCCGCAGTTAAGCAGTTTTTGTTGCTGGCTATGGGTTCGATGCTCGTCCCAAAGATGTCACGACTTTGTGATCTCGATTATGCTGAGTACCTTGTTGGAAGGGTGGAAGACATTGGCACCCCAGATAAAACCATGTATCTTCCTGTCAATAAGATCACAAATCAACTGGGGAAGAAGAGTGGTTTGCATAGCATACGTGGGCAAGGAGTTCAAAACTGATACCGCCAATGTTACTCGACCTGCAAAACTGAGCGCACGAGCTTTCCATCCCGAAAGTTTATTATCCAAGCGGTCCAAAATATAACGGTATGTTACCTGTGTGACCCTCCCATGCAGAACCGGGACACCAAGGTATCTCCTAAGGTCCTGGGTCATAGGCATGCCCAGCTGTCGAGCTATGGAAGCACTCAACGTTCTTGGCGTGTTCTCCGAGAAGAAAATGACTGATTTTTCTCTGCTTACTTGTTGGCTGGATGCAAGACAGAAACGATCTAGGCAATCTGCTACTACCTCCCCCTGCCTCTCGCTGGCTTCCCCAAAGAGGATAAGGTCATCGGCGAAGAAAAGATGGGAGAGGGGTGGACCACCCGGACATGTTCTGATAGGTTTCCACCTACCTCCTCGCACTGCCTCTTCGATGGTATGGCTTAACCGCTCCATGCAGAGGGTAAAGAGATAAGGAGAGAGTGGACACCCTTGATGCAAACCCCTGGTGGGGGTGAACTCCTCGGTGAGGGAGCCATTCCACATCACCTGCATGGACGACGAAGAAACACATTTCATAATAACATCAATCAGCTGAGTTGGAAATCCCACCTCGATGAGTGTCTGGTGCAGAAAATTCCAGCTTAGCCGATCATATGCCTTCGCCAGATCAATCTTAAGAACCATCTGGCCCTTTCTCCCTTTCTTCTGACCCATCGAGTGAACTACCTCCTGGAGAATAATAATATTATCCGTGATATGTCTACCCGGAACAAACCTGGTCTGCGTCGGATGGATGAGATCTCGGTCACCTGCCCATTCAGTCTTCTTTTCCTCTTCAATATGTGGCCAAAGACCTCACGGTTCCAGTCTTCAAAAGGTGCTCGAAAAGTATTGTTTAATAACTATATACCGTTTTAAAAAAATATGGCTATTTTTTGTTTAAAATTAAAGTTTGATATCATATTGTTTTAATTCTAATATCATTCTAATTGTCCCTATAACTATTTTTCCCGTTGAATAAGGTGTGCCCATAACTAATTCATTCCTGCCTTCTTCTGTCATTTTAGAGCACAAACAATACTTTTAGAACACATATATGACTTTAACAATAAATATAAATACACTTGTGAGGTATCATATGCGTAAATATCTATGAGATGTATTTTGATATATATCGAAAAATAAGAACCATCAATTTTTATTTTTGATTAAGTTGAACTTACCACAAAGCGGGAGGTTTGACTGGCGCTTTATCGCCTGCTAATTCCTGTCCTGGGGGAGAGGACCATTCTCAAGAAAATTCCGTCCTCTCTAGGTTTAGAATATTAGAACCTAAGTTTCACCTATTAGAGGTTGTAGTATAGTACTCCGGTTAATTCATGGTCTAAATATCAAAACACGTTGGACGTGCGGCTAGATAAGTACGTCTGACGTATGTTAGTCTGGACCATATTGAAAAGGCTAGCATACACCTGACATATAATATATGATGCGTTCAAGCCTTTTATATGTGATTTGATGTATATAGACAAATCATAACAAACAACTTTAATTTTGATTAACCTGATCTTATGGTACGGGTTTAGAGGATAAGGACCTATTAGTGAAGACAATTTAGTGGAGTGCAAAATTATCTCGTTTTTTATGGTCTAAATCGAGGCTGAACATTTTATTCGATAATTTCAACCCTTTTTCAATCTTCTAGACAGAAATATATAGAACATGAAAATAAAAGGATACAAAAGCATTACACCCAATCCATTAAATATTGGGGGGGGGGGGGGGGGCAAATTTCATTGGCTGATTCAACCCTCTTTTTCTAATTTAATTTTCTTAATTGAGTCATATATTTTCATTTTAATTCAGATTTTTTTTTATAAAAGAACACATTTACTATGAACTATACAATTATATTTATTTTGCTATAGTTTAACACACACAAAAAAAAACCTTGATGATTAGACTGCTATGGAAAGAGCGATGTGCTCGAGTTTTTGGAGCAAGCAACAAGGACGGATTGGCTCTTATTGCCGAGTATAAGAGTTCAATTTTTGTAATCTCCTATAGGAAATGTGTTATTTTTGCACATAAGTAAAGCAACTTCCTCATTTTTGTAATCTCCTATATACTTGGGGGAGTTTGAGTAGTTTTGACATGTATGTAGTCCAAACGGTGGAGCTTGCTGTTTGGTTTTCTATTCCTGACCAGAGGGTTAGGACTTAGGGGTACTTAAATGAAATGTTAATTATCGAAAAAATATATGATACGTTTTTACATCGTTGTCATATCATGATCTTAACATTATCGTAAGACTGCTTAACACAACGTGAAAATTTTTTCTTTAAGAAAATTATCAAAATGAATGTCATTTGTAGTTTTATATTATGGTAAAACTTCACTATCGTATCACTATTATAGACATCATACCAGTAACACCACTATAATAAGACTTCATCACACCACCTCATCACTATCATACAGACTGCACAATATATATATATACCATAATATATTATTTTTTATAGTGGTGAATCAATTTATTAAAACTTGTAAGTAGTTAAATTACAATCGGCGGTTTCTCAGAAAAGACAAATCCTCGGGTTTGAATTCTGATTATGAAGCTATTCTCTACTAGTGTAACATAATAATGCAGTGATTGCCCAACAAAAATAAAAAACAACGTTAATCCGCGGGTTTAACCCTGACCCGATGAGAAAAACGGGTCGCACGCACCCCACGGGTCGACCGTTACAAGGTATCGGGTTGTAGGTTAAATTGTGTTAATTTTTTTTTTGGTTTGCGAAATGCGCCTATTTTTCGATTTTTCTTTTCGCCTAACTCAATCTTCGGAATCCTTAGTTGAACATTTGAATATTGATGTTGTATAAGTGTGTGAATTTCACTATATGTTGGATCTAAGTACGACATGTTACTTTGGTGTGATGTTATATGTTATTACTTATATGTTAGATGATATTTGATATAATTTATCAAGATAAGTGCAATATAACGACTCTTTTCATATTTCCGGGCTAAAACGAGTGACCCATTAACCTTTGACCCACTAGCTCGACCGGGTCCGGTTCAACCCGCGGGTTGACAACCTTGATAAAAAATAAAATAATGCAGTGATTGCTGCTTGCTTTGGGTCAGCATCTCCATGTCACTGTCAACTTCTCCTCTCCACACGTATTACGTGATAACTATAGTCTATCTATAGAAACGTTTGTCACATTTGCCTTGTACACCCTGTCCTCTATCGATAGCCAATCAATCAGGATTTGGACAGCCCCTCAAAATCATACAAAATTTCGAAACTTAAAAATTGACCCCTAATTTTGTTGTAAAATTTGTTTTTTTTTATAGAAAATCTCCCCAGTGTATATCTATTGCTATGTAAGGGAGTGGCATAAATCTATCATTAATTTTTTTTCAATAATACAAGATATTGTGACCAAACAAATTATGATATACATTCAGAGCTGGTTTGGTCAAGTGGTCGTATTCGAATTATCACGACCCTCCACTATTAACAGTTGATTAAAAGCACAAGGTATGGTGGGCCTGTGCAAACTTCAAGCCCATGAGTTGGCTTTCGTTTGAGGGGGCTTGTAAGAGTGTGGTATGAGATCTATCATAATCTTCTCCCAACAACTCGAGTTATTGTGACCAACTGGTTTATGACAATCACAACCAGTTTGCCAAATGATCATGTGTTTGAATAATGTGTGAACTTCAATCCGTAGGTTAAATTTCGTTCGAGAGAGAGCGTACTTAATTAATATGTTACTGGATACAACACAAAATTTAAATACATGTATTTTTTCCCCTGAATGAATGGGAAAAGCTAACCCCAAATGATCGTCCTATAGACAGTCAATTTATTGATTAAGAAAATTGCATCATATTGTGCTGATGTCGTATAGCCATAGCTTGGAGTTTTTATTACTGGATACACGTATTTCCAGGGAGATCGCCATCAATCTTTAGGCGGATCAGCCCCGGCCGTGACTTCTGACTGGAACGACTCCCAGGCAGACTGCAGCTTCTCCATCTCCTCCGCCAGTTTGGCCTTCCTCTCCTCCTCGTACGTCTCCCAAGCCGCCACCTGTCCTTTCAGCTTAACCTTATCGCCCTCATCGGCAGCCACCTGGTCTGTCAGCTCCTGAATCTCCTTATCGCGTGACTGGATCTCCCCATCTTTGGCAGCCACCTGACCCTTCAGCTCCTCGACCTCCTCGTCACCCGACGCAACCTGCTCCTTCAGCTTCTCGTTGTCCTTGCCAAGCGACAGGATCTCCTGCTCATTTGCCTTCATCTTGTCCTCGTACGACTCCCAAGCCGCGTACTCGAAGTACGTCCTGTAGGCTCGGTCCTGAGAGTAGAGGCATGCCAGCTGGTCCAGGGCCGGGTCGTCTTCGTTGGTGGTGATGTAGATAGGGGTTTGGTTGGCGGCGTAACGGAACCAGATGGTGTTGGGCATGTCGGAAGGCGTGAAGGGTTCGAAGCGGGTGGAGACGCCGACCAGGGACATGTCGTCGTTGGGGGAGTCGGCGGAGAAGGACAGGAAGTTGATGCCGTGCAGTTTGACCGGGATCAGGTATTTGTTGTTGTAGGCGGAGCGGAGGTAGATGTAGGCGCCGTAAGTTCCCGGGGAAGGGACGATCTCCACCTTGGCGAACGGGCTGACCGGATCCACGTCCTTTTTCGTGCCGGAAAACTTGTAGAACTCGCCGAATTCCTCCTCGTTCCACATGTAGTGTAGATACTTCCCATCGGTCTTTGACCGGAGAGCCACGTACTGCGGCAATTCCGTCCCCATTGTTTATTTTTCAATTACTACTCCGACTCTCTCTCTCTCTCTCTGCCGCGTTCTTTCCTTCTTATCTTCCCCTCTCTTTGTTGCTTGGTAGGTCTGTCTATGTGGAATTTCCCATTGCTTTTATAGATGTTTGGGCAGCTTTATTCAAATATGGTAGTAGTATAATACAATATTAATACAGAGTTTTATACGTCATTTCTGCACAAATGGATGCCTAAAAGTTTGGTATCAGCTATAGAAATTTATTGAAAATAAACATAAATATTATAAAATTGCACATTATTTACAAGTATCAAATATACGGGGAAAAATGAGATGGCTTCACAATATAGGGGATCAAAAGTTTTAAAAATATTTAGTACATATACAAGTATTAAACAAATATTTTACTAACTAGGCTTTTAAGATCAAACCAACAAGGTTATACCAATAGTTCTTTTTAGAGAAACAAAAACCAGCTGCTAGTTGGGCGTCCATATGTGATACTTATATATACTAGATAATTAGTCCGCGCTCTGCGGCGGGTATTGGTGAATATCCAATAGAGTTGTAGTGGATTTAATAAAACTAAATTGTTTTTTTATCGTATGTTTGATTTTGAATGTCGAAGGTAGTATCTTTTATTTTAATTTTATAAATATTCTTTTAAAAAAAACCATTTTTGTTTTTGTCGAAGACTTTGGATTTTCTTAAGAGTTTACCATCCATTCATATATAGAAAATGAAAACTCTTAAAAAGAGTCATAAAAACAAAAATAAAATTATCAAAATGGTCTGCCTATATTCTCTTGTCCTCTATTTAATCTTATCTATTTTTATTTTATTCTATGCATTTTGATATTTATTGAAGTGAAATACTTATTAGATCTTATGGAAAATATGGTCATGGTCACCTTACCATGATGATGGTAAAGAGATTTACCACTATGACTAAGTGCCCAGCAGCTTTCTTGATAATTATTCTATATTACACTGGTGAGAACTCTTATTACTTATTAATTATCATCCTTACCAGTTTATTAAGTTTAAGTATTAGTTGGAATAAAAACTTATAATCGTTTAGAAATTATAGCATGTATGGTGTGCAATTCAATAAAATTAAAACCTCGAAATACACCTAAGAGAACTTAATTAAAAAATGCAATGGGAATATTAATTGTTACAGCATGTCTGGGTCTTTTGAAGAGAAGAAACCCATCAGTGCTACAGGTGGTAGTTGTTTCATTTTGGGTGCTAACAGGTGTCACTCATGCAAATATGTGGAATGCAAAAAGGAAACGGGTCTCATAGATGAAAAAGTGATAGGGAAAAATGAGATTCACCGTAAAAGATCTCTTTGTTCGGATAAAAAGAAGTTCGATAGAGAGCGGAGAATAGTCGTGGAAGAAAAGAGAAGGATCTGGGACAGGATCTAATAAAACAATCCATAGAGTGATCAAATCAATGCACCTGACCGGAGCGCCCCAACTTGCCTCGCCGCTACGATCTCAGGCTGTTAAAAATTGGGGAAGAATAGATATGTCCACAGAGTAGAGACGGGGTCAGATCGGGGAGAAGAAGAACATCACTATCCAATTGTGGACCCCAATTGCATCTCCGGGAAGTCAAGAACTTCCCAGGTACAGACGGTGATGGTGGGTCAATTGAATTGACAACTTCCTATCCTCTCTCCCACAAACCGATTTCAGGCCTCCAGACAATTCCACCGCGATCCTGCCATATCAGAGAGAAGAGAAGTCAAAGGGCCATAACCCAGAACCTCTTGTCCATCTTCAAATCGGTGCTGCGGGTAGAGGAAATGGCGGATCAGAGCTAGCCTGAAATACCCCAAACTCCAACAGCCTCAAACAGAACGTCGGGTAAGCCGGAAAAATGGCAGTGGGTAATAAAATGGGTAATAAAATACTACTATGAACCTTCGCGCACCCAACCAACGGCGAAGCGGCAGACCGGCGTTGACAGAATGGTGCGGAGAGGAAGACAGTGATGGATATCTTTTCTGGGAGACGAAACGTCGGGGTAGGAGAGGAAAGGGAGAAAGTTCGGCGACCGTCTTCGCAGGGAGATTGGGCAGAGAGTAGTTCGGCAATTTGGTTATGAGAAATCGATGGTCGAGATTGAAAATCAGAATGCATCGGACGGTAATACGCGTGGGATGCAAGGAATTTATAGGGAGAAGGTTCGGCGACTTGGCTGGCCACCATCCTGTCTTAGCTGGGAGATTGGAAAGAGAGAAGTTCGGCGATTTGGGTTATAGGAAATCGATGGTCGAGATTGAAAATTAAAATACTATGAACCCTCATGCAGACAGCAAAGTGACAGATGAAATCGGCGTTGAAAGAATGATGAGGAGAGGAATACAGTGCGCGATTCATCTCTTTTATTTTCTGGGAGACTAAACGTCGGAGAAGGAGAGGAAAGGGAGAAGGTCCGGCGATTAGGGAGAAGGGAAATCAATGATCGAGATAAAAGTCAGAATGCATCGGACGGTAATCCGCGTAGGCTACACAGAATTTGCAATAGACCTGCCCGCAGCCCACTGGACCCCTAAACCAATTAGGCGCTATTTATTATCTAATGATTCACTAGGTTCTTCTGCCCGCGCTCTGCTTCGGGATTGATGAATAAGTTAGGTTCATTAGTTATGGTTTTCGGTTCTTTTCAATCAAATAACTAAATTCGCGCATTCATTTTACAACTACACGTATAGTAGAAGGTTTATTGATTGTTTCGCGGCAATTATTTTGAGTACCTATGTGGTTGACCCTTGACATCACAAATATGAATTATGTCGCCTTTGATATCCCGGTTTAAGGTCATTACATAACACTAACTGCTATAATTGAATATTGATAATCCTAAGAACAGGAAAAGTAAATCATCAAATAAATTTGCTTGACCATTAATGTCCATCCGCCGTAGATCTTGTTGGCATCTGCTGCAATCCCCTCCACCGCGGAAGACATATATATTGCATCACTACATCTGTGATCCCAAACAAACGGTCTCACTTTTGAAATCAAAGACTGAACAAATATTAAAAAATCAAAGGGAAAATAAACCAAGAGAAAAGAAGACCTACCTCAAATCAAAAGAGCTGAAAACCTTCTTTTGTAATCACTCATCAACCTATTTTGGTTATCAACGTCTGCCCTTGCTGCACCAACTCATACCAACCGACTTGGTCCAAACAAGCCTCAGGCCTACCGACTCCACTCGAGAAAGTACAACTCTGTTATTTGGAAGTGCTGAAATCAACTATCAATGAAAGGAAAATGAACATGGAAGCAGAGACTGGAAAAAAAAAGCATTGTTCTTGCAATGTTCAGATATGTTTGTTCCCGTTCGAGCAAACTCTATTGAGCCTGATTAGTCTCGGTTTGGAGTTGTTTGGTTAGTTTTATTTCTTTGGGACCTTTCTGTAATTTGCACTATACCCATGTTAACTAGTCGAAGGGTATAAGTGCTTTTGCTGCCGCCTCCTGCAACCCTAACGCAGAGGTAGCTGGTGTCTTCTTCATTGATAGTGAGAACTTCAGCAGGAGAGCTATGCTCTCCGTGGATTAGTCCCGGTCTCCGGGAATACCACGTAAATCTCGCGCGTCGTTTCTTTTCCGCATTCTTCCTTTTTACATGGTATCAGAGCAATAACATCTAGACCTTCGTGTTGGTTCATCATGAGCAAGGACGAGGATTCTACGAGCGGTGGGTCTGGCGGCTCTCCTGTGGCCGACGAGGTAATTCCCATCAACTCTCTTTACCTCCATCCCTCTAAGAATCCGGCGCAGCTTTTTGGTAGTGATTTACTTACAGATCTCAACTATGGCGAGTGGGTTAATGATCTCACCGAGACTCTCATCGCTAAAAATAAGATGGCTTTCGTCGACGGTTCGCTGCCGCGTGCAAAGGCCGGCACCCCGCGTCGCCAAGAGGCATGGGATCGGTGCGACGCCACCGTTAAGGGTTGGCTCAAAACTTCCATGACGCGAGAGGTTCGCAACAGCGTCCGCATGGCTTCCATGGCGCGCGACATCTGGTCTGACTTGCAGAACCGTTTTAGCAAGGGATCGGCGCAGCGTGCTTATGAGTTGCGTCGATTGATCAGCTCGCTACGCCAGGAGAAGCTATCTGTCTCCGCGTTTTACACCAAGTTACGCTCGTACTGGGACGAGCTTGATGCCGTGAGTGTGGTGCCGCGTTGTGTTTGTCCTAGGTGCACTTGTGGCGGGTGCCGTTGTGACTTGCTCTCACAACATCAATTGAAACAAGAGACAGAGAGATTATTTGAATTTTTGCTTGGACTCGACGATGGTTACGCGATTGTTCGGTGGCAAATCTTGAGCTCTCGGCTCACGCCTACACTTGCAGACGCCTATCAACGCGTCTCGGCCGAGGAGCAACACATGTTGCTTACTAATGGTCGGCGCCCTCCTGTTGACACGGCTGGCTTCAAAGCCCAAGTGGCGGACAAGGACCCTAAGGACGATCGTGAGAAGTTGCGGTGTATCAATTGCAACAAGGTGGGTCATCTCCGTGAGACTTGTTATCGTCTCATAGGCTGCCCGCCCGGTCATCCGCGAGCTAAGCCCGGGGCTTACTACGAGGAGAAGGGCATTTTACTTCAGACCTCTTGCACTGACACGCCCCAACAAAACGGAGTGGTTGAGCGTAAGCATCGACATCTACTCGAGACTGCTCGTGCGCTCATGTTTTACGCTGGTCTTCACATTCGTTTTTGGGGAGAGTGTGTTGTCACTGCCGCTTACCTCATTAATCGGCTGCCTTCTCCGGTCATCTCCCACAAGACGCCTTTTCAGGTGCTTCTCGGCAAAACCCCCACCTATAGTCACCTCCGCAGCTTTGGGTGCCTTGTTTACGTCAAGGATACGCACCACGACCTTGACAAGTTCGTCGAAAGGGGGAGACCGTGTGTTTTCGTGGGTTATCCCGGCAACCAGAAGGGCTACCGCGTCTTTGATCTTCAGACCCGTCGCATCCTTGTCTCTCGTGACACTCATTTTGTTGAGGACTGCTTTCCATTTCGGGAACCCGCCTCATCCTCTTCACACGTACCCAGGTCACCTTCCCATGCACAATTCCGGTCTCAGTCTCACGTGCATGAGCTCCCCATGCAACGCTCTGGTCCTCTCCTTGGCGAGCCGCCTTTCCTTTCGGCTGATGAGGATCCTGCTGATTGGATCTCGCCTGATAGTGATTCCGGACCCCATGTGGACGCCGCTACTTCTCCTCACCACGATGACTTGGCTCCTAATGCTGTCGAGGTCGCTGATGATGATGATGATGATGATGACGCTGATGAGGAGCATTCTGACGTGGAGTCTTCTCCTCCCGCTACTACTACACCATCACCGCCCCCCTCCACGGCGCAATCCAGTTCGCAATCGCCGACCTCCTTCCCGACTCGAGCCCTATGAGGTAACATTTCATGGTTCCCGTTCCTCTAATTCGGTCCAGTACCCAATTTCACATTATGTCAGTTATGATCGTTTATCACCTGACTATCGTGCTTTTTTGGCTGCTGTCACCTCCCTGGTCGAGCCACATCACTTCTCCCAAGCGGCAAAATACTAGGAATGGCGGGATTCCATGCAGCGGGAAATCACAGCTCTCGAGGATAATGACACTTGGACTCTCGAGTTATTGCCCCCTGGCAAGCGGGCCATTGATTCGAAGTGGGTTTACAAGATCAAGTATCGTCCTGATGGCACTATGGAGCGATACAAGGCTCGTCTTGTTGCTAAGGATTTTACGCAGTTGGAGGGCATCGACTTCCATGACACTTTTGCACCCGTTGCGAAACTCGTTAATGTTCGAGTTCTTCTTGCAGTTGCTGCTCACAAATCCTGGCCTTTGCACCAGCTGGACGTGAACAATGCTTTCCTCCATGGTGACTTTGACGAGGAGGTTTACATGAAGCTGCCACCGCGTTTTTCCCATGCAGGAGATCAACGTGTTTGCCGCCTGCGCAAGTCTCTTTACGGACTCCGACAGGCATCACGGAATTGGTATGCCAAGTTTACCTCGGCTCTTCAGGAATTTGGTTTTGTTGTCTCAAAGGCTGACCCTTCGCTTTTCCTCTATGAGCGACCTGGTACTTTCGTTGTTGTCTTGATTTATGTCGATGACGTCGTGTTGACTGGTGATATTCCCGACGTCATCTCTCGTGTCAAGACCTTCTTACGTGATCGTTTCAGCATCAAAGACTTGGGTCCTCTCAAGTATTTTCATGGCATAGAGGTTGCACGGTCACCTGAAGGCATTGTCCTTTGTCAGCGCAAGTACACTTCTCATATCTTGGCTGATTCAGGATTGGGTGCGGCCCGTCCCAGTGGTTTTCCTATGGAGCAGAATCACTCTCTCACACAGCCTCATGATGAACAGGCAGACGAAGTAAGTGCGTATCGGCGTCTTATCGGCCGACTTCTCTACCTTACTATCACTCGGCCTCACATCGCCTACTCCGTCAACATTCTTAGCCAGTTTGTGCACTCTCCCAGTCCTGCTCATGTTGAAGCAGCTCATCGGGTTCTACGTTATCTGAAGGCTGCCCCCGGTCAGGGTCTCTTTCTGCCTGCCGCCAGTACTTTGGAGTTGACAGCTTACTGTGATGCAGATTGGGCCGGCTGTTGGTCGACTCGTCGCTCGATGACAGGCTACTACATTAAACTTGCCACGGCCCCTGTCTCCTGGCGAGCTAAGAAGCAGCGCGTTGTCTCGCGTTCCTATGCTGAAGCCGAGTACCGTGCCATGGCCAGTACTACCAGTGAAGTTCTCTGGCTTCGCTTTCTTCTAGGTGAGTTGCGAGTTCCTCAACGCTCGCCCACCGTTCTCTACTGTGATAATCAGGCTGCTCTCCACATTTCTGCTAATCCGGTCTTCCATGAACGGACTAAACACGTTGAAATGGACTGTTACTTTGTTCGTGAGCGGGTGGCTTCGAGCGACATTCAGCCGCGCAAGGTCCATACCAGTTCACAGCTTGCGGATATCTTTACCAAGGCTTTGGGAACCAAACAATTTCATTTCCTGTTGTCCAAACTTGGCATTTGTAACCTGCATGCTTCAGCTTGAGGGGGGAGTATTGAGCCTGATTAGTCTCGGTTTGGAGTTGTTTGGTTAGTTTTATTTCTTTGGGACCTTTCTGTAATTTGCACTATACCCATGTTAATTAGTCGAAGGGTATAAGTGCTTTTGTTGCCGCCTCCTGCAACCCTAACGCAGAGGTAGCTGGTGTCTTCTTCATTGATAGTGAGAACTTCAGCATGAGGGCTATGCTCTCCGTGGATTAGTCCCGGTCTCCGGGGATACCACGTAAATCTCGCGCGTCGTTTCTTTTCCGCATTCTTCCTTTTTACAAACTCCATTTGCAAAATCAATTAATTACAGTCACAAAGCAGAGCTAGCCAACAAACCAAACAAAATCTCTTATAAAAATGAAAACACAGACAAAGCGAAAGGAAGATTAAGAAGTAAATATCAGTAGAGATTCAATGACCACCTGATATCCCAGACTTGCACCTATCCAACACTTAGCGAGGCCAATGAAATCCGCCAGTTGGTCACGCCAGGCTCTCTGCTCATCTTTGGCGGGGAATAGATAAAAAAAAAGTTGGAGAAAAATTAAGAGAGGAAGTTGGAGAAAAATTACTTGAGTCATCTCCTCATTGTACAGTTTTTAGAGAGGTTCTGTGGACTGCCAATTAAGCCCATTGAGTGGCACGTATAGCCGTGTTGTTGTCCTCTTTGGAGTTAGTTTCATTTGATGTTGTAGAATAACTTCACTATGTAGCGGTTTACGTCTAACTTTTTTTCAATTTTTATTTGTCATAAACCAGTTGGTCCCAATAACTCGAGTTGTTGGGAGAAGGTTATGTTGGATCTGATACCACTCTCTAACACGCCCCTCAAACGAAAGCCAACTCATGGGCTTGCAGTTTGCACAGGTCCACCATACCTTGTGCTTTAATCAACTGTTAATATTGGGGGTCGTGGAGATTCGAACACACGACCACTTGGCCAAACTAGCTCTGATACCATGTCATAAACCAGTTGGTCCCAATAACTCGAGTTGTTGGGAGAAGGTTATGTTGGATTTGATACCACTCTCTAACATTATTAAGAAAAAACATATGTACAATCAAATCTTTTTTTCTTTATTTACCCGAATTCAAACGTACACTACTACCGTAAAATCTATAACCTAATTAAACTGTAGCTACTTCATTAACAATCGATGAAAATCCAACAAAATAAAGGATGATGAAAAGGGAAGAAAGTAAAAAAACACTAATCCTCGTCATGGGCATATATCATTAATCGTCATCATCTAGAACGGGATTCTCGTTATCTTCATGCCCATCAGTAGCACTTCTATGCTGTTGAATGACCAAAACGGAAGCACCCAAATTAAGCTCCGCAGAAGCCAGAATGTCGCCGACGGCCCCTAGCTCCGGGCATTCCTCCCAATCGCTCATTCCCGTCGTCATCGGAGAATTCCCCCGCCCGCCTTTCCCTACTATGAACAATGAGTACATTTCTCCTATCTCTTTCAGTATCTCCACCGTTTGCTCTCCGTTCTCCGTCCTCTTCTCCACGTACTTCACCTTTCCTGACGTCACATATCTGAAACAAGATTTATATATATATATATACGTAAAATTTATAATTCGATGGAATTTAGTGTGGTTAATCAATTAGATGATCGAGTTTTATCATGCACGTACCGGTTGCAAAAATCCTCCATGAAAACATTATCTATAGCCATGTCCACCTCATAGCTGCAGATCGAAATATGCTGCTCCTCGTCCTCACCGTTCCTATCATGCACCTCCTTCTTCTTGGGCTGGCCCGACGACTGAAACCTAATAATCGTCAAGTTCACGTAAGGATGCATGGCTATCCTCTTGCAACAAGCCAGGGCCTCCCTGTCGTCGGGCCCACCAAAGAACAATGTAGCCACATTCTGGGCCAGCTCCGGGCTCGGCAGCTGGAACCCAGTGAGCCCACGGTCCACGAATATCCCCACCGAGCACGGCGCGTGGCGCAACACCTTCTGGTTCACAATCCTCATCCCGTCCTTGTCGTTCTCCAGCTTCCCGTCCAGCCGCTGGTGCTTGTGGAACGTCAGGAACACGATCGACACCCGCAGGTCCTCCGCGCTTGAGCACACGTCCTCGTACACTTTCGGGAAATACGACACGGCCTTGTTCTGGTGGACGAGGATCTTGCTGTCGGTTGTGAACGCGTCCACGGCGTCGTTGATCTCGACTATGTCGTTACCTCCGTACTCGTCGTCGTCGCTGAACTGGTCGCCGTCCTGATGTTAATAACAAGTCAGAATTCAGCATAATTCGTAACGGGCTACATCAACTACCAAAATTATTTGGTCACTAAAAGGTTTATAACCAGTTTTAAGGCTTTAGTAACTATTCTAATGAGGTGCCATGTAAGTGATAAAAAAAAACTTATATAAATACTATTTCAATATTTTGAAACTAAGTGATTTGTTCGTTAACATGATATCAGAACCTTCAATTGAGAAGCCAGACTTTGAATTCTTATGAGAACCCCTTATATAAACAATGGTTTAGGAGAAGTGATGATAATGATATATTAAATTGAAAGCCTAGCATATGAATGATATTTTACTCTGTGCAAATTGAAAACCCCACAAGTAGTCATTCGTTTGAGACATGTAAGAAATATAAATCATTTCCCAATAACTCGAATTACTGAAACTAAGTGACATGTTGGTTAACCGGCAAAAAGCCGGATTTTGCGATTAGTGACTCATTCAACCTTTATTTTTAGAATCAGACAGAGGCTGAACTGGAAAGTTAGTGGTTTAGATTTAGTAGTTAACCGTTACAAAAACCGTTGATACAACCGTTCTTGATATATAACATATAAGACTTGTATATTACACTCATTTAAAATTGATGTTATCATTGACCATAAACAATTTCAAATTCATATCATCACCAAAATATCTAATAAATCATTCAAACCGTCTCACAAAAGAAATCATAATTTTTTTAATTCAAGCTAAAAATTATGGTGCCAGTTGGTAGTGGACCACATAAAAACGAAAACAAGGTTGAAAAATGAGTAGAAAAAACATGTTTGAAATTAATAATCATGGTTTGATGATTTGAGTTTATGCTAAAATAATTTCTTAAAAACATTTGTGGTTAAAATAGTAAACCAGTGGACCAGTTAAATTGTAGTGGTTCATCTGGTTTTATGTTGAACCGTGAAAACCCGTTTGGTCCATCCATAATCATCCAAACTCTAAATCGGACCATAACTGGTTTGGCAGTTCTACTGACCCAACCGTTGATCCGATTAACAATGCACTCAACTATCTTACCTGAAGTTGGTGGTACATGAGTTTTTTCTTGCGGCGGTGTCGTTTCTGGAGCTCGACAAGGTGGAGGAGGTAGGTGACGGTAGGGGAGCGGTTGGATCCGGTCATGGAGGCGATGAGGCCAAGCTTGGAAGTGATGTGGCGGGACTCGTAGACGCAGAGCTGGAAGCGGAGCTCCTTCTCAGGGTCGAGGAATTCCAAGAAGGTGAGTTTGTGGGCGAAGTACTTGGCGTCGCGTTTGAGTATGAAGGAAACTACTGGACCGGCGATTAGGGTGTTGATCACGACTATGATGATCACCAGCTTGTGCGTGTTGTCGTCCCACCATGTCTGTCCATTCGCGAATTAAGACAACAAAACAATTAGACCGAGTGAATATATTACATAATATTGGTTAAAAGCATCCATTTGCATGCATGTCCAGAAAAGAAAAGTAAGACAGGGAACGGAACTTACATCTGACCTGGAGAAAGCCTCAATGACAAGAAGCTCGCCATGGCCCTTCAAGTTGAGAATGAAAGCAAGCACGACGGCGTCGTTCCTGGGGATGTTCAACTGATGGCAAGCGCAGAGCGTCCCGATGATCTTTCCTCCGATGCCGAGCACGATGACCAGCGCAACCACGATGCAGTTCCTGACGCTGATGAGGTAGTTGACGTCGAACCGGAAGCCGTTGAAGCCGAAGTAGATGGGGAGGATGAAGTTGTTGACCGCATAGGTCAGCCGGTGGAGCAAGGTCCTGGTGGTCTTGCCTTCCCTGGGGAAAGCCACGCCGACGAGGAAGCAGGAGATCATGCTGTTGAACCCTAGCTTCTCGATCATGAAGGATAGCAGGATGACGAGGAGGAGTATCGCCGACATCTCCGTGCCCGGCACGAACTTCATGTTCCTGTTCCTCTTGTTGCACCACATCGCCATGAATCTGAGGATCCGTTTGTTAAAATTATATTAGAAATATATAAGTGCGTCATAAGGTCGATCATCTCGGGAAGTGGTAGATCATTTCTTGAAAAGTGGTTGACCATTCACTTGGTGAAACGGTAGACCATTTTTTTTAAAGAATGATCAACCACTTAACAAATGAGATCGATCGTTTAATGCAAACAAGAGAGAGATCCCCCCAAAACTGTACCTATTGGCGTAGGCGACGATCCCAGTCCCGAGGATGCAAACAAGTGCAAAGCCAAACATGTTGCCCGCACTGAAGGCGAGGTAGGTGGAGTACCAGGCGATGCAAAAGAGCTCGATGAACAAGGCCGCGGAGATTGCGAGCCTGCCGGTGTCGGCGGTGTCGAACTTGAGCTCGGCGATGAGGCGGACGACGACGGGCGAGGCGGTGCTGGCGACGATGATCATGATGATGATGGCGAAGGCGAACCTGTGGGACGCCACCTTGAGGAGGTAGATGACGAAGAAGGAAGCCGCGGCTCCGAAGGCGCCGCACACGCCCAGGTTCCAGGCCGCGATCACGCCGATCCGCTTCATGTTCCTTGACATGTAAGGCAGGTCCGCCTCCAGCCCGATGCTGAACATGAACAGGATCCGGAACACGAAGAGGAGGAGGAAGCTGTACGCCTCGAACGCCGGCTGGATGAATATCTGCCGCACCCGCTCGATTTTGCACAGCAGTGACGGCCCCAGCACCAATCCTGCCTAAACCAACAAATTAAAACAACAACAACAACCACCACCACCACCAAAGGAGCAAAGTTTCCCCGTACGTACGTACCAGAATTTGTGCGACGGGGCCGGGCTGGCCCAAGGGCTTGAGGATGACGTGGAATATCTGGGAGACGAGGAGCATGCCGCAGGTCTGTACAAATGTGGTATTGAAAGGGTTCCATAGGTCGCGGGTACAGAGGAGGCGCTTCGCTTGATCCATAATGCTTGTGCCGTAATTTGCATGGTAATGGGGATGAACATATTATAGTTAGATTACGCTTACGTACGTTCTTGCTAGGGTTTCTTTTCCGTTCGTTTTCTTGAGGATGTTGGAAAGAAGAGCTTCTTCATTGATGAACCATGGTATGTAATTGATGAACCAATGGGAGAGAACAAGAGATGATGATCATGTGCCTGG